TATATATACATTAATATGCATATATTTGTACATCTCCAGGGACAATAGGAGAGTCGGCTGTCTGACCGAGGACTTGATTTCCAAAGGGGTGCAAGGATGGAAAATTCCAAAGGGATGCAAGGATGGAACGTGAAGCCATGGCTGAAAGCAACCAGAGACTCAAAAGAAAAATAAGCCCGAGCAAGCGGAAGATGGGTTTGTCTGAAAATAAGGTATCTCCAAATTTGATGGTTTATCACGTTGACCATTAAACCTGCCATTTGGAGTGTAACCCAATTGAGTGTGGTCAAATTGTGTGTGAGTAAGTTGTGGGAGCAAGTTGCGTGTGGTCAAGTTGTGTGCGCAAGTTGCGTGTGGTCAAGTTGTGTGTGAGCAAGTTGTGTGTGGTCAAGTTGTGTGTGAGTAAGTTGTGTGTGGGTAAGTTGTGTGTGGACAAGTTGTGTGTGAGCAAGTTGATTGTGGTCAAGTTGTGTGGTGGCAAGTTGTGTGTGAATAAGTTGTGTGTGTGGTCAAGTTGTGTGAGCGTGAATATGTTGTGTGTGAGTAAGTTGTGTGGTCAAGTTGTGCGTGAGTAAGTTGTGTGTTGACAAGTTGTATGTGATGAGTGGGCGGGCGGCGGGCGGGCGGCGGCGGACGGCGGGCAGAGGCGGAGGGAGGAGGCGGGAGTGCACAACCAAAAACAAGAACCCCACACAAAGATGTGGGGAAACAAAAAAAATATAATAATATTAATAACTATATATATATATATATATTCCCGCAAAGCACCCCGCTTGGCGCCGTCTTCATCCCCATCCCCATTTTTCGGGCCGCGAAGATCCGCCCCGCGAAGATCGCCTTCTTCTTGGACTTTTTGGGTTTGCCCATTTTCTTCACCGAACTTAGGATCAACTTCTCGAGGCGGTCGAACCTGGCTTCCAAGATCAGTCAGACACCGGGTCCTTGATCTGAGGAAAAACATCATAAATATGGAATGTGGTGTTTTGAAGGAACATCTGTTGTGGAATGTAGTATTGATATGTATCTATACCTATTTCTATGGTCGTAATAATGTTGAGAAGTACTGTACCTGAAAGGGGGGTTCAAGGTAGATCGTTGTATTGTTCGACATTGGCACTCTTTTGGACCCTACATCGAAACTTGCAGTTGTAGACCGGTGTAGATCACATTTCCCAGGAAGTCGCACGATTCTGTTGGAAGTGAGCTAAACCATGGAGAACAACTGGCAAAGGTAAAATTCAATTCCCAGGTGTGCCCTCAGCCCCTCACTGCCCTTTTGCTCTTATCCCCATGACGTCGGTGCATGTGTCCTATAATATGTAAGCGCTCAGATTGAACAAATCCGATTCTTGTGTATAATCATATTTCAAAACAATCAGGTTTTTGCAATACAGACATCTATGAAACAATTCACTTCTCCATAGTTTGGGCCCAACTAACAGTTATAAATGGAACGAAATAACTCCTATGACTAAGGTTATATATCAGTATAAACCCATGGGCCATAACTGCATTCAACTTCAACCAATCTCGCGACTCGTGAGCTGATTAGGAAATGATCTGCACATGGTAGGTTTTCATGGGTTTTCCGGATCGGTCGTTTACCCTAAATATGGACATATATCTACCAAAAAAATACAGGCTATCTACAAGAATACAGGTCTAAAAATAACAATATTTTAAAAATCTACATATATCCATCTACATAGATCCCAAATACCAACGAATTATAGATGGATCCCTAAATAAAGTTTGCAAACAAAACATGATGGACACTAACTAGTGGATTATCATAATCCTCATATGCCCATCACTTAGTCAAAACACCTGGGCATTGCGTCTTGGGTCCTTGGATTAGCATCCCAGGTCAGGAGTCATCAATGTGAATATGTATATATCTATAGCAGTATATGTGTATGTAAAATAAATACCAAACTGCTATAACAACATGTTAGTATGTTCAATAACTATATATATATACAACATTGGAAAATATTTCAATAAACACACAAAATAACATGCACTATAATGTAATATGATATAGTAAAGCATCATGTCATGTAATATTATTAAACAAACATATGATGTGAAATTACATGATAATAAAATCACACATCATACAATATAAAAAAACAGCATACTATAATATGATGGAAAACATACAGTATAAAATAATAAAATACACTATAATAAAATATAATATGGTAATTAATAAATGATAATATACTATAAAAAACATTGTAATGATATAAGATAAACATGTAGTATACCATAGACCAGAATACATACATAATATAACACAACATAACTTCGTATAATATGATATAATATAATATTGATACACTAAAGCAATATTGTTTCTTATTAAAATATAATACAATCTAAAATTTAAAACAATATAGCATATGACAATATAACAAAAACACATCATATAATACAGTATAAAAAATGACAAATACATAATATAATATCATATTATAAATATACTACAATACTAAATAAGAACATAACACATAATACAAACCTATATAATTTATAACAAGGCAATGTCATATGATATAGTAATACAGCATAATTAATCAAAAATGAGCATATAGTGTATACTAATGTTTTTTCCAGGTCTGAAAACGGTCTAATGGACTATTATCATAGCCTAATGGTTGATTATCATTTCCCTTTGAAAAATTGGCCGTACTATGGCCATTAAAAAATATGGTACCTGGGAGATCATCCAATTTAGAACTTGGGTGGGGATATAAGCCACTTATACCCTCTGGCAAACTAACATAGCTATTGAAAATGGCCATAGAAATAGTGGATTTACCCATTAAAAAATGTGATTTTCCATAGCTATGTTAGTTTACCAGAGGGTAAATACTTTGGGGACTTATAGCATATCCTAGTTTCAAACAAAGCCATATGGAGGTGTCCCGAAATGGGGAAATACCCCCATATCATCCTGTCACTGGACCATGACTTAGCATTGAACCCATGGTGACGGCTGGGGCCCTCATTTTAAGAAATCCCCATACAAGCTGGTGCCCCAGTTCGTTAGCTAAGTTGGTAAACATAACTCCAAGTTCACAATGGTTTAGGATACGCAAAGAACTATACTTACATTATGTAGTAGGGTTTATAAACCAACAAACATAACTGTTGGGCACATAAATTTGATTTAATCACCCTTAAAAAACCATCAAATCACAATGCCCATGGTGACGACTGGGGATCCCTCATGACTTGGCCTGTCTTCCATGGAATCGTCCTCCTCCGGCCAGGGCATGGCGACGGCACTGGAACCTCGGACGCCAAGCTGGGGAAATCATAGGGACATAGTTGGGAAATCATTGGGAAATCATGAGCTTTTTGGGGATCATCACAATGGTTTTTGGGAGAATCTTGAAGAATCTTGGAATATGTTTGTTTGAGAGAACATCAGAAACCATGGATTGTGGATCATATGGCCCAAATGCATAAGGGGGTCGAAGCGTAAAGAAACCCTACAACCAATTCTGGAAAGCCCATTAGTTGCTCTGTTTGGGAGATTTTTTTGCTTCTGATCTGCTTGAGTAGTCCCAAAGCCAAGAAACTTGTTAAATTTCCATAAACCAGGCTTTGGGTCGATTCTCAACTCGCTTGTGGTGAGATCCTCTTTCGAATAGGCCAGTACTAAACCCACAGTTTCTGGTGTATGTTTGTTTTTAGAGGGAGGGAATCAGGCCTTGCTGAAGGTTTTTGCTGAAATATTTGAAGGTTTTGATGAAGAGCCGTGGAATTTTCTTCTGCTGACAGCCATCCCTCATTTTCTGACAAAACCAAAGGGTGATAAAGAGTCTGCCTCTTATGATTCCGATAAAATGATTAAAAAAAAAGGTTTTCACCATCTGTAAGTTTGTAAACTAGGCTAACTGCTGGATTAATGATTTACCGAACTCAGTAGTTAAATGTGGTGACATAACCAACAAACATACAAGGTGGTGCCCCGCAGTTACGTATGTTGCTTGATAAACCCAGTCCACCATATACATTACACACACATATATATATATATATATATGATATCTATACAGACACATATTTCCCGCAGGATCCTCCGTAAACCCACAGCCCTACGGCACCTCCGAAGCGACGGATGGAGTCCGTCGTCACGATGTTCGTCGCCGCCGGTTCCATGATCTGAACACCGCCTGCATGACAGTTACTAATTGAGTAAAATACATACTACCTGTCAGCCATTTGAATGTATCTATCTATCTATCTATCTACCTACCTACCTACCTACCTATCTATCTATCTATCTATCTATCTCTCTATACGGGCTACGTATGGGATTTAAAAATATATATATATATATATATGTTAGAAATAAGTTACACGTATAACATATGTGGGAGATATGATGCTATGTACATATATATATATATATACGGCCCAGCGATGCCCGGCTGTTGGTCCTCCCAGATGGTGGTCCCTGTACATGATATTTACAAGATCATAGAAGTATGTGTGTCTGTATCTATATGTATCTAAATCTAAATATTGTTTTTTTTAATATATATATGTATATATGTAAGTAGTGTAAATATATATATATATATATACATATTGGTGTGTATGTATCAGTATATGTCTATGTCTATGTGTGCCTCCCCTGTGGATGTGGTGGGGGGTGGGGAGTGGTGGGGGGTAACCCGATACCATAAGGGGGGGCCGCGAACACGCGACACAGGACCATATGACCATATGTATATATATATATATGTATGTATGTATGTATGTATTTAATTATATGTATATATACATATTCAAATACATATTCATGGGTTATAAAACGGCTATGTATATATATATATATATACATTACGTATATGGGTTAGATATGGTTATATAGATATGTGGTTATAAAAAGGTTTTTATATAGGTTCTAAAATGCTATATTGATAAATACAGTGGTTGTATACGGGCTACATATATCTCTGTATAGATATATGCATATTATGTATATATATATATATACAGGTACACGATATATATATATATATATATATATGTGTGTGTGTGCGCGGCTGTCAAAACTCCTTGTCCCTGAAATAGACATCAGCATAATTTGGAAAGGTCCCATTGCTAACCACAGTTTCTTAGCAATTTTAACATCATTGTGTCATATTGATTTACAATGGGCATCGCTAAGGCTAAAGGCAGCTAAAGTAGATATGATATTGTATTTGTAGTACTAGTCATGCTCGTGTGCGCTACTAGTATTCATTATACTAAGATATTGGGAGTACTAGAAGCGCTAGCAGCGCTAGTAAGAGTAAAAGTAGTTTTAAGAAATTAGAAGCAGTAGAAATATTAGCAACGCTAGTAACACAATCCTGGTGATAGCAGCAAGAAAGCAAATAATCGTACTAGTAGTCAAACAATAGTAGTAGTAGTAGTAGTAGTAGTAGTAGTAGTAGTAGTAGGTAGTAGGTAGTAGGTAGTAGGTAGTAGGTAGTAGGTAGTAGGTAGTAGGTAGAGTAGGTAGTAGGTAGTAGGTAGTAGGTAGTAGTAGGTGGTAGTAGGTGGTAGTAGTAGTAGTAGTAGTAGTAGTTGTAGTTGTAGTTGTAGTAGTAGTAGTAGCAGTAGTGGTAGTAGCAGTAGTAGTAGTAGTAGAAGTAGTGGTAGTAGTAGTAGTAGTAGAAGTAGTGGTAGTAGTAGTAGTAGTAGTAGTGGTGGTAGTCGTAGTGGTAGTGGTAGTGGTAGCGGTAGTGGTAGAGGTAGTAGTGGTAGAGGTAGTAGTGGTGACTGGAATATGATGGTCCCAATTGTATACTGTTGTATCTATTGTCCACTTGCTAGTGAAAATAACAATAACCCAACAACCAGGAGACCATCCCTACTCGGCGTGATTACTTCCAAGGGGACATGAGCCTTTGATGCACCGTAGCGGGTCAAAACAGCAGCAGTGGCTGATTGGTCCTCAACTTCACCTGGATCATTCCTATACCGTGGATGACGACGATATGTTAAGCGTTGATTAAATCGAAGCAGCCAGTGGGCTTGAATTCCTGCTGACACTCAGTGACACCCTCCCTTTATCATGGGTTCATGGGATTCTGCAATTCTGAGAATTTCCATGGTCATTTGTCCAGCTCTTGAGTTCTTGCCAGGTCCTTCCATTTGCCGCGGCCATTGTTGCCCAAAGGGGCCCCTTGCAGCCACCGTGGCGTTGTGACCGGAAAATGGCCGTCGTGTTGGCCTTGCTATGAGTTTGCCGGCAGTCGGCATCACATTTCGATTGAGGATAGGAAACATCATTTCATTGGTCATTTTGACCCTCTGGCTGAACCTTTGGTGTGATTTGAATTCATTGGAAACGCTCCCCAGTGATACCAATTGCATTGGTAGCGGAGCAGTTTACGCTCCAGCGACTGACTCCTGCCCATTTACGCTACCTGGGCGCTCTGCTGAACTGGTGACTTTGGGGATGTTTTCCAAGGAGAAAAGTGACAGTTATGTCCCTTCATGGGATGGCAGCTCTCGAACATGGAGACGATACTGCAAGGAAGTGGCATGGTTCATGAGTGGAACAAAAGCAAATCAACGACAGTATGCTGCTGCGAAACTGATTACGCGATTAACTGGTGCTGCAAGACTTTTGTCTATGAGTTGGCATAATCGTGACTTCATGGGTGAACAAGGTGTTTCAAAGATGCTACGTTGTTTTGCTTCCTCTCCCTTAGTACGGAGGTCTCTGCCGAATGCTGCATCAACAATGAGTGAATATTTCAGTTTTCGAAGGCGACCCAATGAGCCGATTGCGCAGTTTCTGGTGCGCGAAGCTCTTGGGTTCGAGGAGTTTCAAGAGGCCTTGCTGCAATTGAAGGAGGAACGTGATGGTTTGGACCCATCACAACGACAATTCGATCTTCCTGAGATCACTGGCCTAAGTGCAGGCAGTTCTGGAGCCCCAGCACAGGACCATGAACCTTGGTGGAATGGTCGTTGGGGTGAATGGCGTGGTGTGATTCATGGAGATGATGAAGATGATGATGAACCCGTGCAGGGTGATGCAGGTCCTTCTCAGCGGCCTGATGGATATGCCGAAGTGCCTCAAACATCTGACCCAGGTTCTCCAGTGATTGGCCCTTCTGAACAAGCAAGACGACAGAACATGCATGGCTCACCAACTCAGAGCCCTAGTCGAAAAGTTGCCACTCACCGGAAACCACATGGTGCTGAGGATGTTTTGAGCCCCATGGACAGTTTTATTTTGGATGTGATGCGAGGTTGGAGATTACTAGTAGCTGCATGTTTGAGCTCTGATGAATGGCGTGATGTGCTTGCCTCTACAGGTAACAAGTTGGACTATCAAAGCATTGCTGACGCTCTTCAGGTTCTTTGGGATGAACAGCTTGGTAGCGGGAAAAGTCCGACCTTGTCCTCTCCTTCTTCATTTCATCATAACCACTGGGTTGAATCATGGCCTTCTGATGGGAGTGCGTACTATGAGCAACAATACAACTGGCTTGATGATGGATGGAATTCTTCTGATTGGGGTGATTCAAACTACTCAACAGGGGATGCTTTTGCTGCTCATTGGAATGATTCTGGAAGCCCAAGTGGCGATGTTGGTGAAATGGATCCGCCTGATCCTGATGATCCAGCCTTGAAAGAGGCGATGGATGCCGAGCGTTCGGCTGAAGCAATGTTCAATGAGGCAAGACGCACCTGGTCCCAAGCTCAACAAGCTACAGCCTCCTTGCGTCGTGACCGTGGATTTGGCCAACATGCGCATGACTCTGGAAAAGGTAAGGGAAAATGTTTCAACTGTGGGGGAAACCATTATGTTCGAGATTGTCCTGATCGTTTACACCCTGGTCCCCGAAAAGGAGTTGGAAAACATTTATCCCAAGCTGAACTTGATGCGTATTTGTTGAAGGGCAAAGGCAAGGGCAAATTCAAGGGTCTTCATGCAGTAAGTTGGGACGATGGTTGGTATGGGGATAGCTATGAAAACTATGGCATGTTCAAGGGTAAGGGCAAATATGGTAAGAACGTCAAGGGCAAGTACAAACCCTCCTTGAACACCTATGTCATGGACTATGACTACCATTCTGCCTATTGTTTGGAGCTTTTCCCATTAGAGTTGTTTTCAACATCACAACCTTCCACTACGGGTCCTCAACGCTCAGTTCCCCTTGGGTTTGGTATGTTGGATTGTGGTGCAACTGCTTCAGCGGGACCGGAGTCATCCGCAAAGTTGCTGATTTCCAAGTTGCGTGAAATCGATCCTCAAATTGGTGTTCATTTGGATGATTCTCGAAGACCTTATTTTAGGTATGGTTCTGGCCAATGGGGACAATCACTATACCATCTGACCTTGGTTTCAGCGAAAAATCCTGCAAGAACTTTTGAGATGTATACCTTGCCTGACCCCGATGGTTTTGTCTACGGTTGGTCTTCACCTTCACAACTGGTACCCATTCTTGTTGGCATGGATCATTTACAAAAGATCGGTTTGGTTTTGGATTTTTCTGATGGATTTGCACTACATGGTGCTGAACCTGAAGCTGAACCCTATTGCCTGCACAAGAACCCCAAGGGTCACTTCATGATTGACTTGGTGTACTACCTGTGTGGTGTGATCTCCGATGCCGAGGCCATTGACACCTTTGCGGCAACCATGGATGGCGCTTCGCCTCAATCTTCAGGACAGGGATCCTGGTCCTGGTTGGAATTGGGTCCAATGGAGTTAATGGCAGTTTCTCATGCACAAGCTTCAGATTCACAACATGCAGTTCCTTCACATGGTTTTCAATTTCTTTGTGATCGCAGAAAACAATTGTCATCAACAACAAAAGCTGAGAAGTCTCAAGTGAAAGTTGTGACGTTTGAGTCTGCTTCCCATGGGTCCCAAGAGCAAGTCCGTGGCAGCTCCAAAGAGCCCTTCGTTGCCTCTCGAGCACGACCGAGCTCTACCAGCAGATCCTCGAGATCCTCGCAGCCAATCAACATGGCCTTGCAACGGCTCTCACGAGCACAAGACCAATGGCGGCAACGCTTCGGGCACTTGGTCGGATTGTGCAACATGCGGCCTGAGGCTGAGCTACATTCCTCGCCAAGGTACTCCAGCAAAGTACATGACCCAGAATGCCCCGGAGGTCATCACCAATGCCCTGAAGATGCTGAAGGAGCACTTGACCGAGGACCAAAAGCCCAATGCCAGCATGGTGAAGACTTGCATCAGGCTGGTGGAATCTTCGATGGCGATGGAAGCGCACAAGGCCAAGCTGACCTTGATGGAGGCCCACCACCAAAGCCTCAAAGCTCACCTCCAGCTGCTCCTTGCCGCGCCAGTGACCCAGCTATGCGAGGAGGATCAGAACGAGGCCCAGAGTCTGCTGTCAATGCTGACCGGAGACGAAATTGCCAGGCTGAGAGAGATTGCTGCAGAACGAGTTCAAGTGTTTCCCATGTCTCCGCCCGACTCCGAGGTGGAAGTGATCCCATACCCGAAGGCATACATGCCTCCAAGCAATCCATGAAGCCTGCTGATGATGCGAACCGTTTTCATGTTGGTGATCGTTTGGTTGAGACTGATACGAAGATGGTTAGCCTCCCGTGTGATCAACTTCATGGCAATTCCTTTGCTGCGGTGATGAATGCTCAGGACAACAACGAGCCTGAGGATGCGTCTTTAGCTGAGGACTTTGAGTTTTTGCATTTTGTCGAGTCGAAGATGATTGGCAGCTCTTCTAAAAATCACCAAAAACAAAACAAAAAGACTTTTGCGACTTCCAAAAATCCTCAAAAACAAAATAAAAAGCCTTTTGCATCGACCTCTACCAATTCAATGTCGCCACCACAACATATGGAATGTCTTCGTGAAGAAGGGAATCCTACAGTTGGTGGCTCTGCAAAGTTTTGTGGCCTACCTTTGAAGATTGGCCGTGCTGCAGCATCCTTGATGGCAATGCTGATGCTTCATGCTCAAGTAGGTCTTCAAGGTCTACTACGTGGTGATGAAAGGGTAGATTGCTGGGAGCTCTTTTGTGCACCTGACAGCTGGCTGACCGCTGCCTGTCAATCTGAAGGACTTCGAGCTTCCCGCATCAACCTTCACCAAGGCTATGACTTGTACCAGCCTTCGACCTATGATGAGCTGCGAGAAAGATTCCGCCGTGAAAGACCCAAACGTGTCTGGGTTTCAACAAGATGCACATACTGGTGCCCCTGGACTTCTTTGAACTACAGGTCCATTGAGCAAAAGCAGAACTTGGAGAAGTTCCGGCGCAAAGAACGAGCTATGTTCAAGCTGCTCATACCCTTCCTGGTGGAGATGCTCACTGCATACCCTGACACTGAGCTGTTCTGGGAATGGCCTACAAGATGCTATGGCTGGAAAGAACCCTGGCTGGAAACCTTGCAACGTGAACTTCATCGACTTGACCGTGACTGGCTTTTTGGTCGGATCGATGGTTGCAGGTATGACCTTCGCTCTCAGCTTGGACTTTTGCTGCAGAAGCGATGGACAATTGCCACAAGCTCCAACAGCTTCTTCCAGACCTACCGCAACAAGACCTGCGTGGGCAACCATGACCACGACTATGTGCAGTGATTGGAGACCAGCCGCAGTGCGTACTACCCTTGGAAGATGTGCAAGTCCATTGCACAACACTGGCGCCGAGAACTTTATCCTGAAAAGTGGCTTCATCGACTTCACTCTCCATTACCTCTTCACCTCAACATGGCTGAGCAAGAACACACCTTGCGGTTGGACTTGATGCCGCAGATGCTCCAAGATGAACAACCTTCAGCACAAGATCTTCGCACTTGGCAACTTCAACTTCTGAAGTACCACAAGGCTGCTGGCCACCCCAACAATTACAATTTGGCCAGGATAGTGAAGGACAGTGGTCGAGCCAAGTGGCAAGTTGAAGCTGCTCTCAAACTTCACTGCGATGATTGCCATGCTCTTCAACGAGGCGGTGATTCAAGTGGCAAGATCCCTCCGGCTTCCTTGAGAGCAACACCTTCAGCTTGGGAAATGGTTGGACTTGATGCCTTCGAATGGAATCCACCACACTCTGACAAGAAGTACAAGATACTTGCGTTCATGGACTTTGCGACGCACTTCAAGGTCATCCATGTGGTGAGAGTACGGCATCAACCAACAACAAACTGAATCAGCCCAAGAAGTACTGGATGGACTTTATCAGTGCTGGCTGAAAGACAAACCCAAAATGAAGATCTTGGTGCCTGACAATGCACTCACTATGAGAGGTGACCTGATGCGCTCATTTCTTTCTGACGTGGGCATCCAACTGGAAGTGCCACCCGTGAAGGAGAGTTGGAGTCATGGCATTATGGAGCGATGTGTCCAAGAGATCAAAACGGTTGCCTCCAAACTGACCTTGTCTCATCCTGAGATGTCTGTTCAGAATGTGTTGGCCCTGACCACAATGGCTTTGAACTCAACTGAAACGGCGCGTGGATTTTCACCGTATCAATGGGTCTATGGCCAAAAGTTCACCTTGGATGATGAAGATGAGCGTACTATGGCTCAACTGACGCCATCAACCGCTGCTTTGGACTTTACGCAGCTGATGGTGAATCGCCGTGAAGCTGAGGCGATGGCTCGTCAAGTTCATGCGCAACGAGTCTTGGTGAAACTCAAGAACAGCAAGGTCAGGCAACCTCTCCAGGTCTTCAAGCCCATGGACTTAGTGAAGATTTGGAGAAAATACTCCGCTGATGGTGGTCCCCGTGGCGGTCTCAAAAAGATCAGCCGACCTCAATGGCTTGGTCCTGGACGTGTGGTGTTTCATGAAGTCATACATGGACAACATGAAGGTGATGAGCGTAGGCACATTGTCTGGGTCATCGTTGGTGGCTCTATGCATCGATGTTCAGTTCATAGTGTGCGAAAAGTCAATGAAAGAGAACGTTTGGAATATGAGCTTCACAACCCTGAAGATCCTGCTCAATGGCAGAGCCTAGCTGATATGATTCCAAACCGTTCCTACATCGATGTCACCAACGAGGAGCCTGACGAGAACGAGGAAGAGGGTCCACATCTTCCCCTTCAACCTGATGCTGACACCATGAAAATGCCTGAGTATGTGCCCAAAACGCGACACACCACGAAGTCTGGACCCAAGTGGCATCAAGTTTTTCCACCACCTGCTGAGCCCATGCCTTCCATTTTGGAAGAATTGCCACCAGTGCCACCTGACACTGCACTGGATGAAAACGATGTGGTCCCATCACCTTCTACTCCAGCTGATGATCCTTTGAATGATTATGGTGATCCCACATACGTTCCTGATAGCGATGAAGATGTTGGCAACACTGGCATAGGCAGTGGCCGTGGTGATAGTGATGCTCCTGATGATGGCCTTTCTCAACAACAACCTCTTCTACAACCCCGAGCTTCTTCTGACAAACCACCTCCTTCAAATGAGCCTGAATCCAAAAGACAGCGTGTTGAAGATGAAGAACAAGCAGTCTACAACTGTTTTATGGAGGTAGAGGAGTGCTACATGCTTTCTGTAGAGTTGGATGTGACCTCTCAACGCCAAAAACAACAGTTTGTCAAACATCCAAGCCTCTTTTTGGCACAAAAGATGCGAGATTGCGAAGTCAGGTTGACCCGCCTGAAACCTGAACATCGCAAACTTTTCGACCGTGCCAAGACCAAGGAAGTGAACTCCTTCATCTCCAATGCTGCAGTCCGCAGATGCCTGGATTTAGCTGAAGAAAATGAAGCAAAGAACTCTGGCAGATTGATGCGCTGCCGCTGGGTGTTGACATGGAAACCAACACCAGAAGAGTCGCTTGATGAAGCTCGACAAGAAGTTTCAGAACGCCCTGATAGCACCACTTTGACAGCTGATGCCCGCCGAAAGGCGAAAGCCAGAATCGTTTTGCTGGGATATGAACATCCCGACCTGCTGACCGAAGCTCATAAGACCAGTTCTCCTGTGCAAGCGGTGCTGACTCGCAACCTCAGCTACCAGCTTGTCATGCAAATGGGATGGAACATCGAAGGCATTGATATGAGCACAGCCTTCCTCCAAACTCTTCCCACTGAAGAGGAAAAGAGATTGTGGACTTCAGGAGTGAAAGAACTTAGAGAAGCACTTCAAATTCCTGAAGGTGGTGTCATGCGAATCCTCAAGAATTTTTACGGCAGTACAACTGCTCCTCGCAATCTCTGGGAGAATGTCAACCAGTCAATGCTTGAGCTTGGTGGCACTCGCATCAAGGGTGACAAATGTTTCTGGCTGTGGACTGAAAAGGTTCAAGATGAAAATGGTGATGTTTTGACTCGTCCTCTTGGTTTCATGGCAGGCCATGTGGACGACTTCCACCGCGCTGGCAATGAAAACAGCGCTGCCTGGAAGCAGATCAAGCAGTCCATTGATCAGCGCTACAAGTGGGGCAGCGTGAAACTGAATGCCTACCGACATGCTGGCACTGATTTGGAGATTGTGAATGATGCAACCCTTGGCCGTTGTTTAGTTGTGGATCAATCATACTATGTGGAGACTTTGCAAGATATTGATATCACACCAGAACGTTTCTGCCAAGGTGATGCAACTATGACTCCGAAGGAGATCAGCGCTTGCAGAACATCTCTGGGAGCTTTGCAGTGGCTTGCGGTGCAAACACAACCTTTGATTTGCGCACGTTGCAACCTGCTGATCACCGAGCTTGCAGGTTCACCGGTGATGCGCACTGCCCAGGAGATTCAAGAGCTGGTGCGTGAGCTTCGCAAGCATAGTACTCAGCTCAAGTTCTTCAAGCTGCCACATGTCAAGACTTGGAAAGATGTTTGTGTTGTTGGTTTGGGGGATCAAGCCCATAATAATAGGCCTAGAGGGGGTTCTACTGGTGGTATGCTTGTTTTCCTAGCTGGCCCTGAAATAGCTATGGGTAAGCCAAACCCAATGGTTTTAGTTGCCTGGAAAAGCTGGAAACTCAAGCGCGTGGCCATCTCTTCAAATGATGCGGAAGTGCAAGCCTTGGTCGAGACTGAAGATGCAGTCTACCGCACCCGGCTTCTTTGGGCAGAACTGAATGGCGCTGGCAAGCTTTCTGAGAGCCGCGATTTGCTGACAGCATCCGTAGCTGAAGTTCGTTTAGTGCCTGGTCTTCTTGGTACAGATAGCCGTGGTGGCTATGGTAGCATAATAATCAATGAGTCACCACTGTTAGGACTTTCCAACATTCGTGCCGCCTTGCAAGCTGAACAGCTCAAGCAGTCACTGCCAGACTGTGGCACGAAGCTGATTTGGTTAGCTAGTGATTGGAATTTGTCTGATGGCTTAACCAAGAAGAAGCCTGAATGCCGCGAAAGCTTGGCATACTTCATGCGTCATCGTAGATGGATGCTGAAATTCGATCCCGAGTTCATAGTGAGCTCCAGGAAGCAGAAAGCTGTGAGTGGATCTCCAGCGATGCAACTTGCAAGAACCAGCAAGAACTCAGAAGAATTTTTGGGTCCATGCAATTCTGAGAATTTCCATGGTCATTTGTCCAGCTCTTGAGTTCTTGCCAGGTCCTTCCATTTGCCGCGGCCATTGTTGCCCAAAGGGGCCCCTTGCAGCCACCGTGGCGTTGTGACCGGAAAATGGCCGTCGTGTTGGCCTTGCTATGAGTTTGCCGGCAGTCGGCATCACATTTCGATTGAGGATAGGAAACATCATTTCATTGGTCATTTTGACCCTCTGGCTGAACCTTTGGTGTGATTTGAATTCATTGGAAACGCTCCCCAGTGCTACCAATTGCAGATTCCAAATAACCAACTCAAACCATCGGACAAACATGGCAATGAGACACACACTTGACACCCATGCTTCATGGAACAATAATCGTAATCATCTACCTGGAGTACCAATTCAAGGTAAAGCGGTTGATCAATCTGGTGATTAGCGAAGATGTAAATATCAAGCGTGACACAGCTTTGGCCTCATGTTGCTTGGTATGTGCGTCGTGTTTTGGGGTGCTTGTGTCTTGCATTTGGGTGTTTGGCACCTTCCGTCCTGTGCTGTGCACAGCGAACAAAACAACTAGTATGAATGGATACGTATAACCATTATATACCTATCATATCCTTTACGATCCTACAATCATCTAAAATAGTATGTAACAGGCTATCATCCTGAATACAGTCATTCTAAATGGATACCCTCTGGTTATTTAACATAATTATGGAAAATCACCATTTCTAATGGTTAAATCAACTATAAATGGCAATTTTCAATAGCTATGTTAGTTTTCCAGAGGGTACATTGGATACACGTTGGGAGATCTCGGGACATTGCCATCCCATCACTTTTCGCAACGAGCCGACCTGGCAAGCCCACATCGCCCTCGTTGAATTCCAGCCGATCCTCCAACTTCATCCCTGGCGCCGTCCCACAACGATGCAAAACGTTATATTCTTAAGGTGCTACTAAGACCCACTAAGCATGAACATGATGCAACATCATTAATATATATATATATACGCAATATATATATACACATAATATATATATATATACATACATAATATATATATATATACATAATAAATATATATATATGGTTATGATCAAGAATATCATGATTTAACATGATAGAATCAAGTAGATTCGATATATATATATATATATTAAATATATATATATATATATATTAATATGATATATATATAGGCCAGGTTTTAGGATGATCAATCCACTGTTTTTGCCCCAGAAATGCTTCGCATCCCAGTTCGCAACTCATAACCCACCCTGGTGGGTAAACGTCAGCAACATGAAAAGAAACTTCCCCCATCATTGACGGTGACGTCGCAGCGAGGTCGTTACAATTTACAGTTGCCAATTTCTGTGTCAAGGTAGCGAAAACTCAGGTAGCGCAATTCGGGTAAGCGTTTTTTATTTTTTTCTATGAAACCCTATATTCTCTGTGCTGCTGGACTCAGGAAGGTAAGCAGTTTATGGAAACCCACCCCTATCAGCCTATCAGTTCACCAAATTTCACTATTCTGATTGGTTAGGGACCGGATTCTCAGATTTTCTCAGCGATAAAGGAGGATCATCCCCAATGATATCGAATCACTGTCAATGTACTTATATAACCCGGCATATGTTCAATTTGATTTATAAATCCCCTTAATGTCCGATAATCCTCAAGAATCCGTAATCATCATTAATGATGATCCCCAGCTGTGCCCTTCTCAGGTGGCCTTGCAAAAAGCGTGCCCAGCGCTTCGCCGAGATGCCTTCTAAGGTCGTGACCTGACGACTTGTCGAAGGACACGCGGCCACGCGAAAACACGTGGCCAAGCCAGCCATGGAAAAAAAAAAAATGTTATGGTCCTGTACCAGCTATAAATGACTTATAACCCCATGTATGGAATGAGAATACCGTTTATAATCATCTATAACTGGTAAAGGGCTTTAACTGCAGGAGATTATTGGATCCCCAATTCTTTTGAATATGATGACTGATATGAATCATTGGATAGAATGACTTGGATTTGCGTAAGGAACCCCAAAATAAACATATTCCCTTAATCGATTCCCTACTGTAAGTAGGAAATTATTGGGAAAACAACAAATCATCTTCAGCAAATCCAGGATGAGGAAGCGGGATATAGACACGAGTGCAGCCCAAAAGGTGGTCATGTTAAAACCATCCATTTTGAGAAGCTGCTCATTTTGATCCCTAGCTACTTACCAAAAGAACAAAACAAAATGCATGGGTAAAAGCTTAAGATCCAGGGCAACACATCTTGACTGGTCATTTCTATATACGAGGCATGAATGTTTGAGGACATTTGAGGACAGACATGATTTTCCAGCCATGTGAGAATACCAGAAAGTAGGTCCTAAAGTGCTTGGGGATGTGCCACAAACATGAGACTTCACGAAACCTCTGGGAAAGTCATCAAAAGTCATCTACAGGTAGTTCCAGAACGTTCTAGATATGAATGGTCTAGACTGGTTCAAAAGTCATCAAAAGATACTGGTTCCAGGATTGTATTGGTTCATTGCCCGCATCCAGACTTGGAAACCGCTGATGCTCTGGGGAATGGCAAGGCGAGGTTCTCAGGAGATCTTGGCAAAGCTTGGACCCTCAAGATGGGTAAGATCAAATATAAGTAGGCGAACTGTTTTATTTATGGTGATTATTTCTATAGGGGTTATAACATCTGTCAGCAACATCAACTAACAACTTCCTGGATATTGTATATATCTGGTTGGTGGTTTTTACCATCTTGAAAAATATGAGTTCGTCAATGGGAAGGATTATCCCATATATTATGGAAAATAGAAAATGTTTGAAACCACCAACCAGTATATTTATTTTGTTATTATATATATATATATTGTTTCCTGGCAAAATATCACACCTTGGATCTCACCATTTACCATATTTACCAATCATCAACGTCCTTTCTGCCTGGGACCATCCCATCCGTGTCCTTCACCATGATTTCACCCATACCCTGGTGACCGAGGTTTTGCAGTTTTGACCCGGCACCATGGAAAAATGCCCTCTGGTCATTTCACATGGGAAATGACCATTTATAGATGATGTACCTCCTGAAAGTTGTGATGTTCCATAGCTACCTTAATTAGTAGATAAGAACAATACCAATGCCCTTGCTGGCGTCAGTAAACGCTGAGGCATGCACAATCACTGACGCACGGTTTAATCTTGCATAGCCTGCAAATCGGGCAGCAGCACGTCAAGCAAATAGTACACTGGTACTTCTGCAACGCATTGTAGATCATTGTAGCATAGTTGGTGAATTCAACCCATCTGAAACATGTAGACCATGAGTAAACTGCGAAGATGTTTCCAAGTTGAGGTGCGTTCTCCATTCCAGACAGTCTTAGAAACAAATAAGTGTACCAGTTGAAAACCTGTAGCAGTTCAAGTTCCAAGTGTATTTATAACCGTACTTGGAAGGGTTATATCCCAACTTAGGTCAGAATCCCATGGTTACACCGTTACACCCATTCAGAACCCAACTACACCAACCAATGCAGTGCTTGGTGGCCGGAACATCGCCCATGTTTGCACAACACCATGTCATAATGTGATATTGATGGTTATATATTTTCACTATATATATATATATATACATACCAATAATTACACATACATTCTCAACACGTCCCCCATGCTTTTGCATGCTTTTGCTACAATTGTTGCCTTCATAGATTCATAGATGTCGTTGAATACACTCGCCGGCCCCGGGGAAGTGGCCTTGCATGTCGGTGTAGACGTGCTGATATGCTTGATTCAGCTGTGCCACCAGCAGGTTTACCAGGATAATGGACACGATCAACACGAAAATGATGATCACCTTGGTCGCTTCGAGCTTTTCTGGACAGGCAAAGAATGGCATAAACATAACTGGAATTCTGGTGGATATACAGATACAGTATCTATAGTTGGATGGGAAAACAGCATCTATAATCGCACCTTTTTGAGATTTTCTTGGGTGTTGATTCACTTCCCACAGATTCCACTGATGAGTTGATCTGTGCTGCCAGCAAGACACGACTAACAGGTTTGCCTCATGCTCAAAAAGCTGATAGTAGGCCTGCGCTTGCGCAGCCATCGGCAAAAAACAGCTGAACAAAAATAGTCGAGAAGCATAATTTTTATTGTCAGCTACAACCACAACACTGTGTGGTGTGCATACACATTATATGATATATATATATATGCAATATAAATAATTTATCATATATATATATTCTCAAAAATAATTCACATCTATGTATATACTGTATATATATATTATAATATTATGTATATATATATATATGTATATACAAAGAAATAGAGAGACACATATTTGACTTGAATATAAACACCATTTCAAAACTGGGTCATGAACACACTTTCTCCACCCCTCCTCTGCACGCTTTCGCTTCCATGGTACACGTGTATTTTCAGACATGGGTGTGTCCGGAAATGGATAATGCAGACAAAAAAACAATCTTTATGTACCCTATTAGTAGTTGCCACATTATTGTTATATCTGCAATTTTCCAACACAGCTGCAATTGCATTTTATGGACTTTGGAGCTCAGAAAGATCACCTTTGGGGAGGTTCAGCACTAGCAAAAATCACCTTAAAAAGGGATCCATAGGTTTCAATACTCACATGGTCTAATTTTGAATGAACTCCTATTTTAGGAAACCTGCCTGGAAACCTTTGGTGAAGCCTGGCCTGGGGAAACATGGCCAAGGACATCTGCGTCAAGGAAAGGAACCACGTTCCAAAGTCCTCAGGTTCATCCCATCAAGGCCCCCAGAGATCTGCATTCTGTAGGTTTTTTACGTGAGGATATTGGGACACCAATCTTGGGTACCCTTCAATTTCTGAAGCTGATGAGCATCAATCCCCATGAATGAAAATGGCAAAGGATTAAAGTATACAGCTACCCCAAGAAGGCTTGCAATGGCTTACCAACAATCATGGTGCAACGGTGCAACACATTTCAAGGTGATTGAAAGTGATTGTCATCATTCATGATTTCGGGTCAACCAATTCCCTTCCGTCCGACCCAAAAACACAGCAAATGGACCCCAACATGGGCATGTCTGAGAGTGGAAAATCCTGCCAACTCACATTTTTCCATATTGTTGGACGAATTGCTATATTTCCCCAATTTTTTTTCCTTGAAGAAAAGGGCCCACCCAGGCCAGAAGGCGCACTGTGATCATCTCCAATTGGATGAACCTGCACCTCTCCGATTAACTAAACCATTAGCGGGACAGGTAAATGACACCGAGTTTTGCGCGGGGATTTTCGGTGTGTTTGCGAGGAAACGTACTCGCGATTGTCCAATGTATTCCGACAGCAGTTTCAGTACCGTGAGGTCGTTGTGAGGTTAGATTTCTCTGGGATACCATCATAGTTTTCAAGGTGCGTAATCATCTCCAAAATCCTTGCAACAACAATTGTTGTTTATTTCTGTGGGACCATACAATACCTCCAACAAAAGTCATCAAACAAAATGGGTCCCCTGGGGACTGTTCATCCTTTCCGATACCTAGCCCAACTTGGGAAATTGGGCCATCATCTTCCGTGGAAAAAAACAAAACCGGTTTTATTATTGGAAACAAAACTAAAACGATTGGTGAACGCATGATTTGGGGATTCACAACAAGATCAACAAGTGATTCCCGGAATGGTTGGGTGGTGATCGAACGGTGTATTTCACTGCGCCAGATTTTTTTTTACTTGAGGAAAACGTGATGATACTGACAGGGGTCTCACCGAACACTTCAGCAAATTCAATCAAACTCTGTGAGGTTTTGCAATATTTTTATCCTTACATTCACCCTCAAAAATCCTGTGATTTTTGCGGCCACATCATACAACAGCCCGCAGCAACTTCCAACCCCTTTGCTTAGTATATATATATATACTGTAAGGTCCTCCAAATGTGGGACAATATGACCATACACGAAAATATTTGAAATGAACAGGGACCAAAACTAAGGGCCACAGAGGCGGTCATGAGCAACAGCTATCGTTGTCGCGAAATCGCTGTACATAGTTTCGTTGTCAAACAATGGATATATTAGATTTGGAAGTCCACTTCAGTTCATCTCCACATCAACAAGAGGGGCACTTCATGGTCAGCAGTCTGTTGTCCGCTGTTTTTCTTCAAAGTGCGGAAGGGTTTCCCTCAGAACAGTTTGGTTTTTGCACCGATACGCGCCTTCTGCTTCTGCAGATTCTGTTCGTCTCTTATGATAGGTTTTAAGGCCAGGCTGGACCAGGCCAAAGACTTGACGCGCAATTGAAATATGCCACTCCCGAGGATCGATTGGGTCTCTGGCAGCCCGGGGCCGCTTTTGGAAATTGTTGTTTATCGCTACGGTATCGATTTGGTTCTCGCTCATTTCATCTGATAAAATCAGGGAACATGTGAAAAATTGTTTCTCAAGCAAAACCTGTACTTTCCAACGCATGTGTCGTAACAGGTTTTGGCAGCAAGTTCTGTGGTCAGAAGTGCGTACTCTAGGCCTTTTGGGAGCATTTCTAAGCCTTTTGGGAACCTCACATGCGACGAATACTAAAACAATCTAAAACAATACACACGAGGTTCCTATACAATTTCAAATGGCTGCGAAAACATTTCAAATCAACCTCACCATCAAATCACGTTATCGCTTTAAGTACTTCACCGTATTGCTTTCTATGGTTTGCGACACATTTTCAATCATAGAAAAAAGGAACCTTTTACGTCTTTGCTCAAATATATCTGGGCAAATTAGTGTTATTTACAACTTGCGTTTTGCGTAAAACCAATTTTTGCATGGTTACCCTGACCATATAATTTAAAAGTGATGCGAGGTCATTAAAATTTCCCATATATATATATAGTTATATATATATATATATATATCCCACCAGTCGGGGTACCTGAGTCTTGATTGCGGTTATCTATCGGGCCAACATTCATAGCTGCCAGGCGCATCAGTGTAACCTACCCCAATCACGATGCCCGGCCACTCGGTTCCCCTTTTCTGGCTGATTCAGCAGGGGAAAGAAAACACAACCAACTCAGCAAATTCATTAGCGACATATTTCATCATCATGGCAAAACATCTGAAGTAATGAAAACCTGCCATTCACCACTGGGCTTACCCTGAAATCCTACATGGATCCAAAAGCACATCTCGAAATTCATATCCTAGTACCTAAGTGGGTGCATCTCGAAACGAGTTCAGAATGTAAACTATGGGCTGGAATGGGGGTTCCCGAGTTACAAGACCAAATATTCTCAACATGTTTTGTTTACACCAAACAAAAATCGTTTCATGAGAAATCCAACAAGAAAAAAAACCTTCCGAAATTGAACAGTTTGCTATGAACAATTGCCCATTCACTTGCATAATTTACTTAATTGTTTTCAAGGTTAATTTACCTAATTGATGGAAATGATCCCTACAACATAGCCAATAGTGCCACACAAGGCGGTGGCGGAAGTTTCAAAGATAGGAAACCTATGAGAGGTGAGTTGTTGTGATGCATGGATGGCAGAGCAAACCCACTGGCTGACCGAAAGGTGATTAAGGCTCTGATTCTCTCTCTCTCTCTATCTCTCTCTCTCTCTATCTCTCTCCATCCCTCGACTCTATCTATCTGTCTATCTATCTATCTACCTATCTATTGATCTATCGATCTATCTATCTATCTGTCTGTCTGTCTGTCTATCTCTCTGTCTCTCTCTCTCTCTCTCTTTCTATCTCAGTCCTGTTGATATCCATCTCTCTTTCTTTCTATGTAGCTGTCTGTGCATCTATCTGTCTATCTAGCTATCTGAAACTTCCTGTCTATCTAGCTATTTATCTGTTTATCTGAAAGGAGCAGTTATGATGCGAGAGTTCCTTCAAAACTGGAAGTGGGCAGATCCAGAAAGTTGACAGCTCCACAGCGACGAAATTCTGCAAGGGGCTATAACGTCAAAAACGAAGCAATATGCAATTCTGCAAGACTTCCTTCAAAAAATGGACAGTTAAGAGCAGAGCTGACGGCCTCGTACCAATGTGTTTTGCGATTTTTCCACGCCATGTGTCTAAAGTACCGCGCCTGCAAAAAAGTGACGTCAGGTCATTACGGAGTGCTGCACCTTTCACGCAAAATAATTTCAGCAAACCTGCGGATCTGATGCTCACTCTCCAGAAAAATGCCACCCCTCCCAGGAGATCAGCGCCCTACCTCCCAACATCTCTGATGCAGATCTCTCTCGTGCTGCCCCTGCAGATCACGTTTTGCTCACTCTTGGCAAGGTGCAGAATCCATTGCGCTTGCCAGAGGACATGCCTGTTCAACATCCAAAAGTGGTCCGAACAAGTGGTGTTTTTGGCATGTTCACTTCGACATGTGCTTCGCGCCACAGCCGCATGCAATTGTTGACTTCTCATGCGACCAGATGGCTCCGCACCCGCCACTTTAGCGAGCCTACTTTTCGACCCTCCCGAGCTACAAAACATTGGAAAAAAAACAGTGTTTCGCAACGTTTCTACCTTTTCGCGCACTTTGATCTTCTTTCATTTCTTTCTACTGACTCTCTCTTCACTGACTCTTTCTCTTCTGACTCTTTCTCTTCTCTGACTGCTGCATCTGCCCAGAAGTCGAAAGCTTGACTTCTAAACTTCCTTGGATCAAACGTGGTGATTTTGTCCATTTTACAACGGTAAGGAGTAAGGACCTAACAATTTTGGGTATACATTTCTTTTTCCATGTGCCATGCCAAGATGTGGCGGGCATCTGCAAAGTCCACCAGTTCATGTTCCAGCGCCATGATGGCTGTTGAGAAGGAAATGATGAGGAAGACCAAGGCCATGATGAAGAGGGCCACCTCCATGACAAGTTGTGCCAGGAGCCAAAGATTTACAAAGCTGGGTGGAAGAAAAACAAATATGCAACTCCCAAACGCGTTGAAACTGTTTGGTTGCTCAGACCCTACTCGCCCTCGCTATAGCTGGCTAGCCGTGGCGATGGCCTGCGTCCTGAAACAAGTACCATATTCCTCCGCCCAACAAAACAACCCATCAACCTACCCGATAAACAAGAAAAAAAGGTGGAACAAACCAAAGAGGATCACTCATCCTTGCGGGCACAGTTCCATGTTCACTTTGTTTTATTTATCTGCTCCAAGTCAGGTTGCAAACCAAAAACAACTATACCTCTTCCAAAAACACGACGTACAAACGTGATTGAAGGTGATTACGTCTTTATACACGATAGAGGAACTACGGCTACAACTTTCTAAGGTAAACCTAGAATGGAAGTTTTTACAAACGCACATGGCCAAAACCGATACCCTGCTGTAAACTAACAGTTCGATCTGGAAAACCCAGCATTTGCAGATCATTTTCCACATTTCTGTTTACCCTAGGGCAATTGGTGTAAAGGCCCCGTCAGGTGTCCCTGCACGCTTGATCAACATGGATCAACCAACATAACTGATCACAAATGATGATTACCCGGAGCCTCCAGTAGAGAAACAGAGCCAGAAAAGCCAGAAAAGCCAGAAAAGCCAGAAATCCAAGTCAGGGGTTGCTAAATGTCCTAACATCACCCAAATATTGGGGATATAATCTCCAACAGATACGTTTTCAAGTGATGTTCAAAATCCCCAAGCCATGGGACATTGACCCAGTCTATGATCAAATCATATCAAACCAACTGTCAACTGTCACTTGTCGCCATAAGCTGGTGCCGAAAAAATGAACGGCAGGGATTCACAGAGCTGGATGGGTTAAGTGCGACCTGCAAGAAGAGATCTGTCAAATGATTTGTGGGCATATTATCTATCACCTATAATGATCTATTAAGCATACTAGTAACTCACCCACTAGTATGATATCTTAAACACTAGTGAGTTACTAGTATGATATTTAAAGCCATCAAAATAATCAAGCATGTTTGCTGCAACCCTGACGTTGCGCCGCGTCTGACTTCAGGTGGCTATGTTTGATCCCTGAGTGATGAAGATAAAGTTGATGCTATTACCCAAATCAACATATTGTTCATAAGGGGGTGGCAAATTTTGATCCCTGATGAAGATAAAGTTGATGTTATTACCCCAACCAACATATTGTTCATAGGAGGTGGCAAATGTTGATCCCTCATGGAGACATAGTTGATGTTATTACCTCAATCAACATATTGTTCAGAGGGGGTGAATTTTAATGTGATGATGATCATGATGTGATGATGTGATGATGTGATGATGTGATGATGTGATGATGTGATGATGTGATGATGATCGATGATGATGATGATGATGATGATGATGATGACGATGGTGATGATGATGATCATGACGATTGTAAGTGTGGAGCAACGCCCGGGTTGGGGCGAACATGTTTGTGTGCTGTTTGGATGACATTTCACTATTTGGATCTATTTGGGTGATATTTCACTGGGCAAAAAAATCAACCCATGATGGTTCATCCACTTTTCACCCCTCGGTCGAAGCGATGAACCGGTGGTCGACCACCGTTTCACCATCACCAGGCGCCTCTGACAAGACCCGACCAAAGACCAAGACGTATGCACTGATGTGCATAGAGAAAATGGAAAAGTCCAACCTCATGGTCAATCTTGGATGATACATTGATAATTCAAGCAACCAAAAGTAGGGGATGCTTGTGGGGCTAAGCCGCTAAGCTACAACCAATGACGGCAAATCTCTGAGACTTTCTCCGCCCAGGTGGGTGCAAAAACCACCTAATATACCTCGTTTTCAGACACGCTTAAATATCGTAGCAAATTCTACATCCCCAAATATATCCCGTTAAGATATATTAGGTCCCTATTATTGATGGTTGACCCTCAATCATCTGCTACTCAAATGCTACCTATGGAGGTTAGGTATCGAGCCGGTCAAGCTGAAAAAAACATTAAGATGTTCCTGGTCAAACATTATGATTTGATATGTTTCTATTTGATATCTATCGATCTATCTATGATCTATATCCATCTATCTATCCATCCATCTACCGATCTATCTACCTATCCTTCGCTCCATCTATCTATGTCCGCATATTTACGCATTTCTGTATTTATGAATTACTTTATATATATATAATATAACTATAGTATACTATAGTTATGTACTTGTGTATTTATGAATGAATCTCTGCATGTAAATTGTTCATTCGGCTGCTGTTCAACAACGGACCCTGGGTCGGCCAATTTTGGGTGCCTCAATCCGAGGCACAGCAAGGTCCAATAGAGCAATATGGCGAGACAAGAGAACATGGAATAGACGCGCTTGGTACCCCCGCTGACGTGCTCGCAATGGGTGGCGAAAAGTAATTCTGAGTGATCATCATGATCATTCATGGAGTCCATGGAGAACTCTCCACAGTGCCAAATCGGCTCTTCGATGCACATGCCAACTAAGAGCCAGAGAAGAACGAAGTTTCCACCAGACTGAAGTGAAAACAAATACCTGACGTGGCTGATCGTTGGAGCGGAATGAGGTATGCCAAGCAACAGAAAAAAAGAGGTACCGATTCAATTAATATGTTTAGAGGTCAGTTGTTCAGCCAGTAGTTTAGGGGCGCACTTGTAGATCTCAATGAGCTTTGGATGGTCGATGAGAAAACAAAATCAATTTCTTAGTGTATCGAATGGCACCCATGGAGGACCCCAAGCTATCATCCAAGCCGAACTGGTCATTATTCATGAGGGAAAACCATTTGTTATATAAGTTGAATACCCATATCTTAGGACTCGTCTTTTCCTTGTTTAATTAATTTATGGTCATTTCAGCTTAAGCGCGTTTAAGAAAGCTCCAAATTTGGATCATTTATGGTAATTTCAGGTTGACTATGATAAAATATATGTATATAGGACACCTCCAAATTTGAGTCATGCTAGGTTAAATGTATACAAAACATGGAGCAGTTGGTGTTGGACAAGATGCTGCGGGATTGGAATGTAAAAGGTCCGGTCAATCGCTCCGTTCCGGCAGTCGGCGAGAAAGTACCGGATCTGCGTGTAGCAGATTTTGCACATACTTCCAAGGTACCTGGCAAACAAAAAAGCATGGTTTTGTCAAAATATATCATAATATAATATGTTGTATACCAATTACTATATGGTTATGATGGTTATGAAAATATGTGTAGAATATATTATATGGCATGGGAATATATTATGTGATATTTGTGGACTTTATGGAATACACATCATATTGTACTAGCGAATATCAGCATACTTTTGGAATGAATACCATGGAATATACAGTACCAGTTACCAATCATATTATGTGTCAAAATGATGACCAACAATTCTATGGAATACCCCAACATGGCAAGCAATATTGATATATGAAACGTTGGGGTTTGGGTCTTCAAAAGCACTGGATGGTGGTTTCATGTGGCTACTGTATGTTACTGTATATGTTCCCAACAGAACCCCAAAGAAGCTGGAAATTCCATGGTGTAAACACCCAACGCCATGAAGAATCACTTCAAAATCACCGTGAAAAATGGGGGATACCATCCCCAACGGGGAGGTTGATCAGGTGGAGTCCCCACAGATGCCGCAGATGCCCTAGAAACTCATCCATTGGGCATCGCATTGCGGGAGTTCCAACGAGGTCTTGCACTGCTGGATCACTTGGGTGAGACAATGGCCATGGAAATCCATTGAAGATACTGGAAACCATGGCATCACACATCGGCTCAAAGAGATTTAGAGAGACTTGACATGATTTGACCCAACATCATGTACATATATATATAATATATATATATATATATATAATATATATATATATATAATATATATACATATATATATAATATATATATATATACAATATATATATACAATATATATATATATATTATATACTGTATATATAATAACTATAGCATACATATATATATATATACAGTGTATATATGAGCTTCAACAAACAAACAAGAACTTCCTGCAACAAATCAGAACTTGACTCATTGGTCAGATCCACAGACCCAGCCTGATTGCTGCTTGAACTGATTCGCTAGTTATCGAACATCATGAATGACATATTGCCGGGAAATCATGGTAAATCAGAAAAATAAATGTGCCATTGTCGCTGTCCATAGTTTTTTCACCTTACCTAAGGGTAGTAAATTGGGATCATCCCAGGCATAACAGATGACTATTGAATGGATAAGACGATCTGAGAGCAACTTTTCAGTCGAGTTGCGTGGAAAAAAGAAACACCACCAACTCCACCACTTTCCTAAAACTCAGCCTCTTCAGTCACATGGCCAGTCTTCAGTATCTGCATTTCCCGGAGACGCTCAGTAAATATATCCGTGAAATGGCATGAAATGGTTCAAAACCCATCCAAGATGAAAATCAAGAGATCAGCCGCTTCAGCCCAGCTGCAAAAAGACTCTGCACACGAAGACCACGACGTTTCGCTCCAGGGTCTCCGGTTCTCCAAGGGCAGATGGATATGATAAAAAGGACTGGCTGGTGACCGCTAAACCTGGAGGTTTTGACGGCAGATCATCCAGGTGAAGGCATGACCAGAGGCTTCACATCTTTGGGAACCGCTTGAACCCGTCCTGGAAAAAAAAACAAACAAACACGCACACACACAGTGTGCAACAGATTAAATGGCTTGTCTGACTTTTTAAATATGTTTTAAGTGTCCAAGAATTTGCTGGTGAAACCTTCTTGATCCTTGTTGAATGATGTTGAATGTATTCAACCAGGAACATTGCTATTTTTTGGGTATCCTCTGGGGCCAGAGCCCATAAGTAAAAGTTCTGTGAAATCATTATGCATTTGAGACCCTTTAGGCACAGAAAACAAACACAATTTTAAATAAACAATCATATTGAACAATATTGAACATAATAACATCCGAGATTTGTCAACAAATGTTTGGCAGATTCACAAAACATGGCAGATTCACAAATATGCAAGAATGATGGACAATTCCCATGTTTTCTTTCGTCCCTTACAGCAAATATATGAAGATTGTGGAGATAAATGTGGCTACGCAGCGGCTATGCATCAAAACCTAGCACCCCTGGTTTTCACATCAAATAGCCATCAAATAGCATCATATGGATGTTCAGCTGTGAAAATATGGTACCAGCTACCAGTATGTCTGATTTGAATACTTACATGAGCGGTAGGATGTGAAGCATTTCTGCGCTGACGCAGAACCACAGAACTGTTTGGTGGAGGATAGACAACTGCCACTTGGGCTTGGGGTTTTGGCCACTGGTTGCTGGTTAGCAATGGGAAACGTGGCCAGGCCAACCTTCTCTGCACATGAACAAATCATATCCGAAACCAAAAAGAAAAACTTGGTACGCTAGAGAACTTGGTCTGTACAAGGTGGTATCCCCCGGTAATGTCTGTTGGCTTATATACCCAGTTAATTGTGTAGTTCGATATATCCCCCGTAACCCCTCCGTCACCTGTCCCACAGACGTCCATCACTGAATTGTTTTGCCCAGAAGCAAAGAGTGAAGAGGAAATAGCAGCGACCAAGCAGAAAATGATAGGCCACCAGACGTGTCCACATTACATCAGCCACCAACACGATGGTGAATTGGCTGATCCTCAATTTGTGCTGGGGGTGCACTATCTGCTGCGGGAACAATGAAAAACATGTTGGAATCTAGACAATGGAACCAACCGGCCTAATGTTACAGCCCAAAACATGAAAACAATTGTCAAAAACAACAACTGCAAGACGGTGTATGCATTTTGTCATGGCTCTTTGCGGGTACACTGCAACAATGTATTGAAACAGCTCTGAATCCTATCCCCCATGTATGTTCACAGATTATCTAGGCTATGGTCTTAACGTAGCATTCACTAAGTTTGACTTCAGATCTTAGGCGCTTGGTCACTGGTCACCCATTGGTCACCCATCCCGCCACACATGGCCAACTTGTCAAGCATCGTCACAGGATTACCATACTCCACCTCAGAAGTCTGATTGGGACCCAGGGAGATTATACTTACTCAACAATCCTGCTGGTTGGTATGTGGGTTTGTCCAACATGGGAACAGTGGGTGAGATACCCCGAAATTGCAATGTTAATAGGAACATGATGATAAACCACTTAATTTTGGACCTTTTGGGGTATCCAATTGTTGCACAAACCCATGTCAACCCCAACAATGGGGGTATGATGTTGGTCAAACGCATATGCAAACTGGGATAAACCAAACAACATGGAAACTATATGATCAACATCCTACTGGATGATATATGGGGTAAGTTTTAGCAAATACAAATAGAGCAAACATATCCTGTTTTTTAGCAGCTGCGAATGGAAACGTTGAAATTGTTCCGGATGCCCCAGTTCTGCGAGGCAAAACCGCCGAAAAACCGAACATGAGCAACAGTGTGCACATGTATTTGCTGATTTTTTTTACATTCAATGTGTGTTTTAAACACATACATTACATACATTACATACATTACATACATTACATACATTACATACATTACATACATTACATACATAACATACATAACATACATAACATACATTACATACATTACATTAATTACATAAATTACATAAATTACATACCATACATACCATACATACCATACATACCATACATACCATACATACCATACATACCATACATACCATACATACCTTACATACCATACATACCATACATACATACATACATACATACATACATTACATTACATTACATTACATTACATTACATTACATTACATTACATTACATTACATTACATACATACATACATACATTACATTACATTACATTACATACATACATACATACATACATATCATTACATTACATTACATTACGTTACATTACGATACATTACGATACATTACGATACATTACATTACATACATACATTACATAGATTACATACATTACATACATACAGACATTACTTTACATTACGTTACAGTACATTACATTACGTTACATTACATTACATTACATTACATTTCAATTCATTACATTACATTACATACATACATAATTACATTACATTTCATTACATTACATTACATACATACATTACATACATTACATACATTACATACATTACATACATTACATACATTACATACATTACATACATTACATACATTACATACATTACATACCTTACATACATTACATACATTACATACATTACATACATTACATACATTACATACATTACATACATTACATACATTACATACATTACATACATTACATACATTACATACATTACATACATTACATACATTACATACATTACATAACATTACATAACATTACATAACATTACATAACATTACATAACATTACATAACATTACATACATTACATACATTACATACATTACATACATTACATACATTGCATACATTGCATACATACATACATAATACATACATACATACATACATTACATACATACATACATACCATAATACATCATACATACATTACATACATTACATACATTACATAGATTACATACATTACATAGATTACATACATTACATACATTACATACATTACATACATTACATACATTACATACATTACATACATTACATACATTACATACATTACATACAATACATACATTACATACATTACATACATTACATACATTACATACATTACATACATTACATACATTACATACATTACATACATTACATACATTACATACATTACATACATTACCTACATTACATACATTACATACATTACATACATTACATACATTACATACATTACATACATTACATACATTACATACATTACATACATTACATACATTTCATACATTACATACATTACATACATTACATACATTACATACATTACATACATTACATACCATACATACCATACATACCATACATACCATACATACCATACATACCATACATACCATACATACATACATACATACATACATACATACATACATACATACATGCATGCATACATGCATACATACATACATACATACATAGAGACAGACAGACAGACAGACAGACAGACAGACAAACAAACAAACAAACAGACAGACAGACAGACAAACAAACAGACAGACAGACATACTTACAGACATACATTACATACATTACATTACATTACATTGCATTGCATTACATTGCATTACATTACGTTACATTACATTATACACATTACATCATTACATTACATACATACATACATAATTACATTACACTACATTGCAGCACAGTACATTACATTGCATTACATTACATACATACATACATTACATACATACATTACATACATACATTACATACATTAATACATACATACATACATACATACATACATACATACATACATACATACATACATACATACATACATACACGCATACATACATACATACATACATTACATTACATTACATTACATTACATTGCATTGCATTACATTACATTACATTACATTACATTACCATACATACATACATACATACATACATACATACATACATACATACGTACGTACGTAAGTACGTACATACATACATACATACATACATAACATACATAACATACATACATACATACATACATACATACATACATAACATACATACATAACATACATACATACATACATACATACATACATACATACATACATACATACATACATACATACATACATACATACATACATACATACATACATACATACATACATACATACATACATACATACATACATACATACATACATACATACATACATACATCATACATACATACATACATACATACAATACATACATACATCATACATACATAACATACCTTACATACATTACATACTTCATCCATTTACATACTTAACATCCATACAATACATACATACATTACATACATACATACCTACATACATACATCCATACCTACATACATACATACATACATACTACATACATACATACATACATACTAAATACATACATACATACATACATACAATACATACAGACATACATACATACATACATACATACATACATACATACATACATAATCATAATTACATCATACATACTACATACATACATCCATACATACATACATACATTACATACATACCTACATTACATACATTACATACATTACATACATTACATACATTACATACCATACATTACACATACATACATACATACATACATACATACATACATACATACATACATACATACATACATACATACATACATACATACATACATACATACATACATACATACATACATACATACATACATAATACATACATACATACATACATACATACATACATACATACATACATACATACATACATACATACATACATACATACATACATACATACATACATACATACATACATACATACATACATACATACATACATACATACATACATACATAGAGACAGACAGACAGACAGACAGACAGACAAACAAACAAACAGACAGACAGACAGACAAACAGACAGACAAACAGACTTACAGACATACATTACATACATTACATTACATTACATTATATACATTACATACATTAAATACATTACATACATTACATACATTACATACATCACATACATTACATACATTACATACAATACATACATTACATACATTACAAACATTACATTACATTACATTACCTTACATTACATTACATTACATACCATACATACATACATACACACATACATACATACATGCACACATACCTACGTACGTACGTACATACATACATTACATCACATTACATTACATTAAATTACATTACATTACAATACATTACAATACATACATACATACATACATACATACATACTTACTTACTTACATTACATTACATGCATTACATACATTACATACATTACATACATTACATACGTACATACAAGCAACGAACAAAGAAACAAAACAAAACAAAAACAAGCACATACACATACACAAACACATACACATTCACATACACATACATATACAGATATACATATACATACACATACGTATACATATATACATACATACATGTACACGTACACATATACACATACACATATACACATATATACATTTACATATACATTTACGTGTACATTTAACTATACATATATGCACGTTTACATTTTAAATAAATTTATATATGTATAGATATAAATGAATACATATATACATAATATGTACAAACATACATATGCACTTGTATACATAAACACATAAATACATATGTACATAAAACCGTATACACATATAAACAAATATACATATGTACAAAATACATATATACAATTATTTACATATATTATATACATGTAATCCTATATATTCGTCTGCACATATGTACATAGATAGTTACTTTAGTATATATATATATTACAGTATATATTATACAGATACATATAATGCGTCATACGTATATATTTATATGTAAATACACTATGCAATATTCTTGGATTTTGTTTGGACCTCCATTTGTTGTTCGTTTCCCACCGGATGTCTCGCTTCTTTAACGTTGCCGTAGCTAGGCACTAGCCATTGAAGGGCTTGATGAGGATTGCCATCTGGATACTGCATCAAGTGCTTGCCTTGGAGACCATGAGCTCAACGTTCGGGATACCCTCTGGTGGTATCAAACATAGCTGGGTGCGAAATCCCCGAACTGTAAATGGAGGTTTATAGGTTTATAGCAAACATATGATGACAAAGGGCTTTTCAAGTCATTGCATTGCAGTCAAGAATCAGTAACAATTCAGTAGATGCCCAGGAATACACAAAAGATCCGATTTTTGTAGCTAATTCACAAAAATTATTGGTATCTTTTGGGTATTACTGGCTATAAATTTGGGATATCGAAATAATTCAGCCATATGGATACCTGCAGAGGCTATGGATCAAAATCCTATGGCTTCATCCTCCCACATGGTGCCCATGGTGCCCCAGTGAAACGTTTCTTGGTTTATAAACAAACTTGTCCTTATAGCTATATGAAGTTATATTATGCTACATTGAGATATATGCTATATGATGTTAAATGATGTTATATGATGTTGTATGACGATGTATGTTGTTATGCATGATAGTATAAGACGGTATATAATGCTATATGATGTTTAAAAAGGTGTGTGATGTTATACGACGTTGAATGATGTTAGATGTTGTTGTATGATGTTAGATGGTACTCTAGTGTACACAAAAAAATAGGGTGAAAAAACACAAAACATTTTATCCACATTTCTTTGGGTAAAACTGGTCCATTTACTTTAGAAAGCCATATCTATGTCAAAACCTTGAAAACGCAAGGTTTCCCAAATAATTGGATGCCTTATTAAACCCCTATTTAAAAACAGCACCCAAACAATTTTTCAAGGGGGTACCCCATGAGTGACCGAGATCCTCAATAATGTAATTGTTTCGATGGTACTCTATTGTGCACAAAAACTTTTGGGGATTTGAAAGGAAAATCAATTGAAAGTAGATTGATGTCAATTGAAATCCCTTCTTAAGTTGACAATCCTAAAAATTGTTGATGGGGGGTCGTCTAAAATGGGCATTTATTCAGTAGACGTAAATTGTTGAGGGGGGGCCCTCACACTAATCATATGATGTTATATGATGTTAACACATGTTAATAAATGATGTTAGATGATGTTATCAGTATCACATAAACATATATAAGCCACAATGAAATTGGAGCATCTTGGAGCTATGTCCACCAACTTAGCTAGCGAACTGGGGCACCACCTTGCAGGATGGTCCTCTGGTCACGGCACCTTTCCCCATCAACTGACATAAGGCCTGGACCAGAAAAGCTCCCATGTTTAATTGTCCATTGCTGTTGGCAAATCTCCCTCTTTGTTCCTGAATTTCCTGTTTTCACCGGATCTCCTTTTGTTGTTGGTGAAATACCCTTGTTTAAATTGTGGTATCCTAATTCTATTATGTTTGGTGATATATCCGTGTGTCTTTTATCTGACCCAGTTTCCACATGTTTCCACGACATCAGATCGAGTTGCAATAGCAGTTCACCCGTCGATAGCCGTTGCTAATCACCCTGGAGCGCCAAATCAAGCCTGGCCCCGGGCCCCAGGTATTGCAGTCGATCGGTTGGCTTGTTACGCTGACAGTGTGATGAGTGGTTGGCCAATGGATCAAAATCCTGGTACCCGGGTGAAGCCCATTCAATGACTGGCCAATGGATGTTCATACCCAAAAATATGTTTGTGCATAAACGCTAATAGGATTTTGATAGAATTTGGCTGCAAGAAAAAAAATGAATCATTAAAAGCAACAGCAAATACAGCACGCCTGTTGAGTCTTGGATCTATCAAGTCTGCAGCCGGGTTACTTACTGTCTGTTTCCGGCAGCTTCGTCAGACTCGAATGTCCAGACCAAAGAAAGGACCCAAATGGCCGGCCCAGAGCAACAAAAAACGGTTGAAATCCCTGGAATTGTTGGTCTACCGGGCGTATATAATATACCTTCATCTAGCTCGTGTTTCGTCTTCCCCGTTTCTATAACAGAATACATGGCATTCATCACTATTCATTACAATCAGTTGCACCCAGCCGCTTCTGGACATCGGCGGTTTCTGCCTTCCAAAAGCGGCTCCAGCAACGATGGAGCACTGGTGGAGAGTTTCCTCACTGTTTCAGCATGCGCTGGACATATGAGGTCTCCAAGCGTTATCGTTGACACGATTCATGTGGTGTTTCTTGAGATTTTTGAAGGATTTGTATGGTGTTTTAGTGGGATCTTAGTCCGTTGTTGCCAAAAAAACATCTCACAAGGCAGTACCCTATGCTGCCCCAAGATATGTATATATATATAATATAATCCATATATATATATAATCCTTGTGCATATTACAACTGTAATGTTAAAGTATCCTCAGTCATCGTGTCCTTGCGAAGCTCACTTCCTAGCTCCTTGGCTGCCCCTTTTTACGGGGAATATTTTTCGACACCCATAGCTCCATCACCATTGCCCAATTCAAAACTCATGATATTAACGCTAGTGCATCAGCAAATAAAACATCAGATGCGTGTCAAACAGAAATACAAAATATGTTCGCCCCAACCCGGACGTTGCTCCACACTTACAATCGTCATGATCATGATCATGATGATGATCATCATCATTGGCATCATCATCATCATCATCATCATCATCATCATCATCATCATCATCACCATCATCACATCATCACATCATGATCATCACCACATTGAAATTTGCCACCCCCTCTGAACAATATGTTGACTGGGGTAATAACATCATGAGGGATCAAAAGTCACCACCCCCCCTGAAAAATATGTTGACTGGGGTAATGACATCAACTTTATCTTCATGAGGGATCAAAAGTCGCCACCCCCCCTGAAAAATATGGTGGTTGGGGTAATGACATCAACTTTATCTTCATGAGGGATCAACATTCGCCACCCCCAATGAACAATATGTTGATTGGGGTAATAACATCAACTTTATCTTCATGAGGGATCAACATTCACAACCTCCTATGAACAAGATGTTGATTGGGGTAATAACGTCAACTTTATCTCATGAGGGATCAACATTTGCCAGCCCCTATGAACAATATGCTGATTGGGGTGATAACATCATCTTTTTTTACAGACACCTGAAGTCAGACGCGGCGCAACGTCAGGGTTGCAGCGAACATTGTTATTATTAGTGTCTTGGGTAAAGGGGGTTCATCATTGGGGCAGTCCCACATGATCATTGTTCAAAGCCCTCTGTCATTCAAATATACTGCTTGGTGAATATGGGCTTCCCAAAATTAAAATAGAGTCTGGAAATGCCCTATATATAGCTATCCTACACATATATATATATATATATATATCCATATATTATCATATATTATGTTTTCCCTATAAATTGCCCAAAAAATATTTGGTATTTCGGAATAATTAATTACCTATATACAATCATCAACCAACGAGGCTTCAGCAGCAACTGCTCACATCGGACCCAACATGGCCCAGTGTCTTGATGACTTCCGGGTGACGTGTGAACAGCGCATCCTAGGCCGGATCGACTTCGAGGGACCATACGTAGTGCATCTGGTGTGTGGTTTAGGCGGTAAACCCAATTTTTATGGATGGTATAAGTATAAACCATCCCCAGATGGTAGTTTTTTTTTGGGGGGGGGGTGTGTACCACATTATTCAATTGGGATTATAAACCCAATTATACAGGATGGAAAATAGAAGTCATGATGGATATTTAAAATCACCAACATTGAGACATGTCAATATCTGCAGAGAGCTGTTGCTCTGCACACTTCCACAGCATGACATACATCTCAATGGTTTGATCGGCTTTTACGGCGTTGACTCCTGAAATTGGAATGCATGGTTAGTGGAAGTTATATCACAGTTATACATGCCCTTATCCTAAATTCATGGGCAAGAAGTTCGGACACCAGTTCGGATCCCGTTAGCAAAATCCAAAATGAAAGTATCCCTTCAGCAAGTCTATTGCCCCGTAGATGTATGAAGAGTCATGGTCAGGCCAGGCATGATCTGGACAAGAATTGCTTTCAATTCATATCTCGATGTTTTACGTACGCCAACCATGGTGAACTCACCAATTTTGTGTAGTTCATATCAAGTGTTTTGGAATGACAAAAAAACTATGTATATAATATAATATATATATATATAATATTGTATATACGGACAATCTTGGATACCTTGCAAAAGAAAAAATAGCTGGTAAGTGCATATTCTCATTCAAAGCAAACAATTAGATAAACCACTAATCCAGTCAGTTTTTCCCTTGTGTAAATATATATGTATATATATACACTGTATATAGAATTATATTATACGTGTATATATATATAGATAAATATATATATATACACATGTGTGTGTACTGTATGTGTACAACTTGTAGCTGCCACTAACCCACCCTTCGAAATAGTCTTCCCGGTAGGCCGAAGAACAGCTCCAAAATAGTAATTGTCTCGATCTGCTCGAATGGTCAAAAGATCCTTGGTTTTGTTTGGCTGAGCCATAGATAGAAAAGTTGTAAATTTGGAAAGTGTGGGGGAAACATTACCATCTGGTTATTTAACATAGCCATGGAAAATCACCATTTTTAATAGGTAAACCATCTATTTCGATTAGGGCCATCTATACCATGGCGAACTGTTAGTCATAACCAGAGGGTATCTTTTTAAGATCCTGAACACCCGTGTGCTGATCTGGGATCTGGGATGCTATCCTTAACGTCCTGACATCCTGGAGACAGGCCTATCGGAAAATGATGGATAGCTCGAAACAGCCATTTATTTACCATCTGACCCATTTGTAGATGGTTTACCTACTAAAAATGGTGATTTTCCATGGCTATGTTAAATAACCAGATGGTATCGCTTTTGGTGGATGGTATTTGAGTCCATGCGAAGAACTGCCAACCGTAACGCCGTATCAATACGATACTCCACTATGATAGGATCCTGCGAGTACCCAAGATGATTATGATATGAATTCCCTTCCCCAAAAAAATGATTTGCTTTCATGGGGATTAGTCACCAATATACGTGAAGGTAGTGTACCCTCCTGCTTGATCTTTTTTTTTGCCACTGCTCAAATTTGAATCGAATGTGACCATGGACCACACCAAAAAAGTGCTCGTTTGGAACTTCAAGATTCTTCAAAGCATCATCTTTGGGGGAACTCGTTTATACCCGTTTGGTTATTTAAGTCAATCACAATATCTTTTGCAGAACAGCGCATCCCCTTCGTTGAGGTTACACAGCCCCACTGAACTGGGCACATTGGATCCCTGACGAAATGCTCGGACCAAACATGACCAGTTACACGTCATGTTTGAGTCCCTGGCTGGTGGTTTCAACTATGTCATGTTTTTGGAAAATGGGGTATACATGGGTATATCCACCAAAATGATTGAAAATGGATATTAAATAGGGAACATGAATATAATTACTGGATTTTAGGATACCGTATTTTCAAAGAAATCCAGAAAGGTCCTGACCGCACAACGGCCGCCTTGATCTGCAGGATCGCTCAAATCACCATCCCATATCCCAAATATGGTTGAAACATTGAAACATCTTGAGAATAAACAAGACTATTACCCTCTGGTAAACTAACATAGCTATGGAAAATGGCCATTTATAGTTGATTTTCCCTTTAAAAATGGTGATTTTCCATAGCTATGTTAGTTTACCAGAGGGTAAAAAAGAAACAAAAACAGTCAACCAGACCAAATTTGCCAAGTTTCTTCAATCATGGCCTGTGCACAGATGAGACTTCCAGATTCGATGGCCCAGTATAAAGGAGAAATCGATTGAGTGCCTCACACCGCAGCAAGGTGATCACACCGAGCTCTACCAGGTTTGGTGATCCACCCTGGCAGGTAACTTATATCCCAGGACCAACTCCCCTGTTTTGGCGCAGAAATTTCCAACATGACCCGTACATCTTCCCGTTGAAAAAAGGGGGCCCCCATTGCAGGTCTTCGTGAATTTCGCCTCTGAAAAAACCACCCATTGTTGAGAAAAAGCTGTTTCGAAATCAATGACACAATTGGTATCCCAAAAAAACACAAATCCGTCCTCCTATAATATTACATATCTCCAAATGGGATCCCTGAAAGAATCCAATACTATCCAGAGGGTTACACGACTAACCAGGCCGTATTCTTATTGAGGGTCTACGGCAACAAGTCTTGTGGAGGTCACAGGAAAAACCACCATGTCTTTGCCTCCCAGGATGCAAGCATCCACGAGTTTGATGGCGTGGCCCATGCCAAAACCACCCTTCAGATTGGTTCCATCACAACTGTGGCTTTAAAAAATCTGCACAGAATTGTGACATCTAATTATGGTGTAGGGTTAGGTTGTTGCATCAGTCGGCATTACTTCATGGGTGGTTCAGGTTCAAACATAGCGTGCTATGGATCACGAGCTGCACGAATAAGCTGTGCCAAAGCACCCACGGTGATGTTTAAAAGCTCCATGGCGCGTTTGCCACGGGGAGCCACCGCGATAGCCTGGAAGCTGAAGGTACCGGTCATTGGGATTCCTGAAACTAAATTATACACAATTCAATTAATGAAACAATATGACACGCAAAAAAGCATATGACATGCACAATATCATATCATATATATATAATATATATATAATATATATATACATATGTATGTACATATTTGCGCGTAGAAATATAGGCATATGAGTCAAGATATCATTGCATATACATATATATATATATAGTATATAATTAAATACAGTTGTGCAAAGTGACGGTTTTGCATAGTGTATACAGCAAAAAACATCTGTGTAGTTGTATATATAGTGTTTGTGTTGTGTGTAAGTAGTTCCATATGCATATGTCAAAACATTTATCATTCTTATCTAAGTATAAATACATGGTCATTGATTGTACATAAGCAAAGAATAATCACACATAAATCAGAGATGATAATCATGGATATACTTTATGTATCATTTCAGATCCCCAAACGTTGCTTCTTTTGAACGGGGCGGCCCCTTGGCCCCTTGTGCTCCAAGTGTGGCTGTGTTTTTGTGGAATGTTGATCGCAACATGCGAGCACTTGTGATTTCTAACTTATCCAAATGAATCATGGTTAAATATCAGGAATTTTGATATTGATGATAAATATCATGGGATATGGCACATATGTTTGATAATGATATGAGTTCCAATAGTGAATCTAATTGAGTGATATTTTTCAAGCACAATATCATGGGTTGAAAAATCATGATTTATCATGGATAGACCCGTTTTTGGATATCCAAAAAATACTAAATCATACTAAATCCACATCACGGTTGAATCCACTATCCCAGTGTACCAAACACATATTACCCCAACACAAATCTTAAGCTTCAAATTGTGCCATCCTTTGAGGCCAAACGTTGCAAAATGTGCACGAGACTGTAGCCAGAGCTCAATTTCACATGAAAACCGGAAAACAATGAGGGGATCGGAACACTTTTGGAAGATGAAGTTGGCTAAATTTATTCATTCATTGATTCATTGGTTCCTTGGTCAATTGTTTCAGTGATTCATTGATTCCATGATTCATTGAGTTGCTGATTCGATGATTTATTGGTTCATTGACTCACTGAATCATTGAACCGTTGATTAATTGATTCATCCATCCGTTCAATCATTCATTCATTGATTCGTTCGTTCGTTTGTTTGCTCATTCATTCATTCATTCATTCACTCATTCACTCATTCACTCATTCAATCAATCAATCAATCAACCATTCATTCAGGCTTTCTTTCGTTGAGAACCCCATGTCATTTTTTTCCAACTCATCACAAATTCCTATTAAAGGCTTTCTTCTTCCTACAGTCACCTCCTTTTTCGAAACTTCCTCCCCGGCGGGCACTACTGGCATTGTCATTTAACAATGTCTTCTCCAATAAATCGTTCCCAACCAATTCCCACTCAATCACATCAACAACTTCTTCATAAATCATGATAAATCGATCATCAACCACATCATCAACCATAAAACCGTTAAAACAACCGTCATAAACCAGCCGCCAGCCAAACAAAAATCTCTTCCAGCCGCCAATGAATGGTTTTTCCAACCGGTTTCAACCGTGGGAACCAAAAAAATGGATTCGGCCCATTCACGGCCCGCCTTTTTGAGATTCTTTTCGATGTTGGTGTTAATGGCCTGCATCACCACAGTGGAGCCTTCCACCAAAGTCCTAACCTCGTGACACGTCCGTGACACGTCTGGGTGACGTGGACATGGCATGACATGGCAACATGCCATTCTTTGGGGGAAACGATGGGGATAAACATGGATTTATGACGATTTATGTAGTAGAAATAGAGAGTTTATGAATTTCAGAGTGGATTGTTTTAAGTGTACAAGGCTACTTTTGTGGTTGTTTAATGGTTTGAACTAGCTTTGCTGAATTATAAGGAAACAATTTTGCAGAAATGATCAGAAATGCTGATCAAGTGTCTGTAGTACAACATGCTAAATTCAATGTCCTTCAACTGCCAATCCCATGCGGCCCATGCGCAATTCGAGTTGTTGATTCGACCAAGGGGATCATCACGGGTCAGAAACTTCGGTGCCAAGATCTATTACTCGGAATGATTCGTTACGTGAACGAACATGAATGGTTTCATGGTGTCAAGGTGTTTAAAGTCTCTGTTGGGCTATGGGAATCCATATCATCGATCCAATCAATAAGGCTACTTCCTGTCTCTGTCGTTCAACATCCAAAAGAAGCGTCAAAACATTGTCTGAACATCTCATTACAAAACCAAACAAGTATAGATGTCAAAAGCATAATATAAAGTGGGAGGACGACATCTTGAATCTAAATAGAAAAAAAAACACGTCATTTTTTGAGGTAACCCCTGCAAGCATCCATTGAATAACCGGTGTATATGTTTATATATGTATTAGTAAACGTATTATATGTCATAATCCCGACTTGACATCAAATTTCTCGTTTGGATGGTACAAAATGATTCGCCCTGCTGATCCTACAAATAGTGATGTAGAAACATATGCACGTTCACAATGCCATTGATAGATTGTACCCCCCCCATCTTGGCAGACAGTTTTTGTCCGTTCCAGTCCATCCTCGCAAAAAAACATGAAAATTGCCCCAGCTCTAAGGGCGCTGTCTCAAAATTTGAGACCCCATTAAATCCACTGGTTGAAAACCTCGTTTTCTCACGGAGTCTTCATCAATGTTCCCATTTGGGTGTGTCAATGTGCAATTCGCATAGCCCATTGCAAACAAGGACAATTCCATCACAAAGACAGCAGCGGCTGCAAAGTGAAACTCCAATCATGGATTGTTAATAAGCCCTTATTCTTGGCTGTTGCTGGTTTGTAAATGTGCATCAGCCCTCACCTCAAACATTCATGGGGTATCTCATTCCATCGCCAGAAATTCTATCCATATCCCATCAGAAAATCCGGATACCATCCTAAAAACTAATACTTCAAAGTGGAAACCCTAGATCTTTGTAGATCGTTGTCCTAGGCTTTCCACAAGGGATTTCTACATCTATGTAAACGTTTACCCCAGGATAACCCAGGTTTCATCCAACCTCAACCAATAATTTTCTTGGGATTAGAATGGGATATCATTTTAGGATCGTCCCACTTAGCGGCATATATATATATATACCCTCTGGTTATTTAACATAGCCATGGAAAAATCACCATTTTTAATAGGTAAACCATCTATAAATGGGCCATTTTCCATGGCTATGTTAAATAACCAGATGGTATACATATCCAACTATGAGGATGTCACCAACAAAAATTTCGGGATTTTCGGATGGAAAGTTCACTGGCAGATCCCCATGGATTCCCCATCTCTGCAGGGACACCATGATCTTCGCGATCAATGTGAGGCTCCAAGCGAAGGCGCTCTCGGTGGTTTCGTCCGTGCTCATGCCACGGATCACCTGGGGCTGCAAGCGGCACACTGTGCCCCATAAAAAGCTGCTTTAACCCAGAAAAAGGAGGATTTAGTCAGGAAAAAATATAAAACAAATAAAAACAAATAAACAACATATGAATACCACCAGGAGACATGAGGGTTTAGGCACGTTGGTAGGTAACTTGGGGACCACATACTGTAACTAGGCGAATGGATGGGTTTATCGAGGATATATCATATATCCAACTAGTTGACTGGGTGAACGTACAAAAACGAGTGGGGGGCACCACCTTGTAGGGTAAATAACAACAGTTGGGTAACTTTGCCAAGTATGGGGTAATTGAAAGCTACTCAACAACAATCCAGAATGGGGATACTTGGGTACGCTAGCAACCATACACTGATTGATTCCCGGTTCACATGTTAATTATAATTCACACGAACAAGTTCAAGGTACAAGACCCCTTACATCTCATGTCTGGATTATATTACATCTCATGTCTGGATTATATCCCCATTTGGTCATGTTCAATTCCCATTTTTTGGGTGAATATTCGCATTCCTAATGATAATATACTTTATGTCCTCCTGTTCGGTTCTGAAGCCTTCAAAGTTTGGTTGAAACTATTTGAGACTCCATTTAATGCTCATCGAATCCCCAGTTGCCCAAGCCAGTCCCCAGGCCACCCACTCGCCTCGACGGCAGAGCTGACATAGGGGGAGAAGAGCTCAGTGGGAACACCATAACCCACGTGTCTCAAGCCCAAACCTGAAAGCTCCTGCAGAACAGAAGCTGGAACAACCTAGGGATCCAGAAATCGGAACCCCAAACTGCAACAAGTATGGTACTGTATGGCCAAATGGTGGTTAGTGATATTAGATGGGGATGGGTTATAGAAGCATCCTCATCATCCTCCAGAAACCGAAGTAATTACTGATGTTGTTCATTTTAGCGCTCAACAATACTTAGGATCAGCCAGTCCCATCGGCTTCTTCAGCCCAATCTTCCAGCATCTTTCACCATTTCACCATCACCAACCATCTTTGGAGCAAGCATATCCCAGTGTTGCAGGTCGATCCACATTAATCACCGAGTTTTCAGTGAAACATAATCCGTCACCATCAACTCCAGCTGAGCACTAGTGTCAAAAATCTATTGGAGAATCACCAAAATCATTGTTCGTTACTAGTGATTCCCGCTTCATGGATGATGATGATAATGATGATGATGATGATTATTATTATTATTCTCCTCAATACAAAAGGGCAGCCTCGAAAAAAAAAAACATCATCTAGTCATCAACTCTTTTTCGCAGCCGCTGAAACTGCTCAGAACTCGATAACCATCTCCCATCTCCAATACGGTTTTTGTTTCCACCATTTCTGGATGAACTTCCCATTTTCATCTCCCATTTCTGAACCTTTGTAAAGCTGCTGAAATCCCCTGAAGCAGTTGATTTGGTTCACCATCCATGGTGGATGTAGGGGATGACTAATGTGACGAAAACTGAAAAATCAGGACATTAACCACAGCTATAGAATATCCAAGTATATATATATATACACATATTATATTGCTTAATTCTTGCCACAGTTATACGTCACCTCATCTCCGGTCTCCTCCACCATTTTCTTCGGTGTGCGGTACATTTCCACCGTCATCTCCACGATCTTCTCGGCGATGAAGTAGAGCCGCGTCGTGCTCTGCTTGAAGAAGTCCTGCCCCGAAGGCGCCTCGCGGAAACCGTGCGGGTTGGGGCGGGCGTGTTGGATGCCCCGAAGATGCAGAGTTAACTCGCAAAAATGGTGATGTGATCAGGAAAAATGAGGATTTAGACCACCAGGAATGGCGATTTGACCCAAACAAATTGGGATTTATATATAGTTGATTTAATATCAGAGTGCTGGGATCAAAGACTACAACAAATTAAAAAAACATAGATATGTGTATATATATATATATGAATTTAAGCAACAAGGAATTTATATGATATTGATTTATTCTAAGTTGGTTCAAGAGCTGTAGGATTTAGGGTGGATATCTCATGATATCTCTTTATTGTTAGAAACCCGTGGTGTTTGGACTGTGGGAGACTGTGGGAGATGAATCCCTCTTGACTTGATTGATAAATAGTATACATAAGCATACACACATACATGGAGAACAAAACTGGTGTGAATATCTCACCTGCGCAAGCCTGTGCTGCAATGAAATTACATTAATGTGCATGTGCCGGCAGAGTATGTATATACTCATTGATATATGCTTCATTGTGCGTATGACATGACTTTGTTTGTTTACATATGTATATATTACACATGATATCCAGTATGAGGAATCCTGAGCAAGGGTATCCCTAAAATCACTGGTCCGTCACCATTTTCTCTATCAAAATTGCGTTCTGGGAGGTAAAACCAATTTTTCAGACAAACTTACATATTAAGTTACTATATATATATATATGGCAAACATCACAGGGGTTATATATTCCAATTTAATCACAGTGATTGTACTCTGGAGTTTTTTCTGCAACTTCAAAGCACCATTCCAATTTTCACGCGAATCAAGACCAGGCACGAGCTGAAAAAATCTTTTGTATTCGTCACGGCAGTAGGTGGTCAGCTGCTCCTGCGCAAGCTGCGGATTTCTTCTTTGGGAAAGACAGGCTGAACAAATCAGAATTCATCATGGGAAACCAATGATTTCAGGGTTGGCATGAGAACCTGTATAATTGTGGGTCAAAATCAATATAATTTGGTGTGGGTGATTCATTTATGTCAACCGAGTCATTTTCGAGAAAAACGTACGCTGGAGAGAACCCTTCTGAAGTCTGAAGTCAAGTGGATCCATGGACGGATCATGTTGAAAAACAAAACATGTGTGTAGTTTTGATAGCTCACCTTGCATACCGCCTTCCCAAATATTGATGACAGGGAACAAACTCTTTCGCCAAGTATATGTATTTTCACATGTCTGGTTCAACCACTAGAGCTAAAAATCATTTCTAGCCAAAGGTTTACTGGGTAAACACTACCTATCAAGTTCCTTTCTTTCGTGAAGGCCAGCCTAAGAAACGCAGGCGAAGCTGGGCTCTCCTGCTGCAAGCTCCCAATAAATCTTTCCAGCGCCTTCTGATGGGCTCTTGGTCGCCCTGGCACTCGAAGCCGTGCACCGCAATGGGTCAATAGGAATATCATCATGGGATACGATACAAGACGATGGAGTACCAATCGAGCCACTTTGCTTCTCTTTGGAACATTAAGAGATATGTATTATATACATATCTACATGTATATACATATATATATGTATATATGTATAGTATGTATGTAAATATATATATATATACATATTTAATCATATTTATATATGTATACATGTACATATATACAAATATATGATCCTCAACATCCTTTAAACATGTCCGCCCCAACCTGGACGTTGCTCCACACTTACAATCATCATGATCATCATGATCATCATTACCATCATCACATTAAAATTTGCCACCCCCTATGAACAATATGTTGATTGGGGCAATAACATCAACTTTATCTTCATATCCACCTGAAGTCAGACCCGGCGCAACGTCAGGGTTGCAGCGAACATGTCTATCCATTAATTTAGCTGATGTTCGTTGCACCCCCGTGCCCTGGAATGCCACAAAATCCACCAACCGTGAACCCCATCATCTTCACGAAACTTGGTGGTAACTCCTCGATTCTTGGACAGTTTGACCCCTCCAGTTTGTTAATAGGGGGGGGGTACCGGGGTACCAACTTTAATTTCTCACTATTTGAGGGGGTATCCCCGGTACCCCCTGACACCCCCCAACATCCAACTGTATGAGGTTTCCTAAAGAGGGGGTACCCCGAATCATCCATCTTAATGGGATTTCCCATTGTAAACCATCCATTTTGGGGATCCCCCATTTATGGAAACACCCATATTCTCCCATCATATCCTCCTCAAAACCCCACGGCCTAGCTGCTGTCGCAGCAGGCGTTCCACGTTCTCCCAGAGCCAGTTCCATGCGACCTCGCACCACGAAAAAAGGCTGAATTCACTGGGAAAAATGGTGGTTTAAGCCACAAGAAATGGATATTTAACCCGAAAAACGTGGGGAGATAGTTGGGATAACGAGAAATAAAAAGAGATAGCAATGGGATATAAAAGCAATCATGAGCAGGAAGAAACCAATGGGGTGAGTAAACCAGTGCAACGTGGTAATCCAGCTTGTTGGAAAAGTTGAGAGCCACATAACAAGGCTGACGGATTAGTTTATGGGGATGTATCAAACCAGTTTGCGGGGTTTAAAACCAACGGATAACTAGGGGCAACCTTGTAGAAAGCAAGATTCATATTGCACTTGTAAATGGAACAATTTCAGTCAAGGGACTTGTGAACCAGACTCAGTTTCGATTAACCCAACCCGTCTTGACACATGGAGTCCGTTTTAATGAATTCCGAGCAAGTTGCTGGTATTATTTTCCTGGGAAATGTGTTGGTCTTGTGTATTTTGATATATATATATGTACATATGAGCGATGTATTAATCCCAATTAGTATTCCATCGCCCCCTCCAAATGGTTGTTTTTACGCCTCCTGGACAACAAAAAAAATCATATCGCCTTTATCTTCCCCATGTTTTCTGATCAAATCTGATAGACTATTCACCTTGGTTGTTTTCCCCTTGGTGGCTGTTTTTTTTTCATGTGGGTAAAACAATGGTAATGTCATAAACCACCATTGACAATGGTATTACCCAATGGTATAAACCAACAATGGTAATGTGGGTAAAACAATGGTATTACCCAATGATAATGTTTATGACACTGTTTTACCCACACTTTTTGGCACCGATTGCACGCTGGCCCCGTAAACCGAACGCTCGCCACAAAGAACGGGCCTCATGCTGTGAGTTCCACTCTTTGGGAACCAACGACCTGTGGCGAGTTGACCATCCAAAACTGGGGGCCGTTGATGATGTTGAACTGTTCATCATTGGATTGGTTTAAGGGAAAATCTACAGGAAACCATGGTTTTTACCATCAAATATAGGGCTTTCCTGTAAAATTTCCCATCATCCAATTCTATGAGTTCAGAATGGGGAGTGCATCACTAAATATGATTGTCAATGGTTTAAATGCGTTGGTAGTTAAATATTAGAGGAAAACAAGGTTCTTATATAGCCTCAGAGACAGAGGTCTCCTGCACATTTTCCCTGCAACTGCAACCCTCACTGATTTTGGTCCAGGTCATTAATCTTCCCTCAGGATCACAGTATGAGTGGACCACCGGAGGCATTTCTGCTCGCCATGAAGTTTTTAGATAAACATATGCTGGGAATGGGATGCATGTATAAACATATAGAACACGTACTCAAAACTCATTCATGCACATTGGAACACATCTATTCATTTTTTTTTGGAACACATATTAATCAACATATATTTATCAACCATATCCCCATGGATTGTGATAATCCCCAACAAAAAAATGGGTGTAGAAACCGACAAAGAATCATCAACCAACCGGGCCAAAAGGGGACCCAATTGACAAGCGGATTGAGGGACCCACCTGAGGGACGCCAGCATCACCGACTTGAATTCTGGGAGGTTAATCTCACCTGGCAAAGTGAGGTGACTGAGGGATCTGACTTTGTTCAACCAGGAAACTATATATTATATATATAATACATATTACAGTGTGTATATATATATATATATATTACAGTGTGTATATATATATATATATGGACATATACAGTACTTCATATTAGAGAGAGAGAGATGGTAACCCCAAAGAACGATGGAAACTCTTTGAGTTCCACTCTTTGAGTAGGATCCGCCCAGGGTCCCAAGGTACCCCGCCTTTGCATTTCGCCAGATTCAGCGAAAGCCTTGGGCGCTATTGCATGCAGAGTTTACGAACCCACTCATAACAGTAACACGACAATGTGTAATGTGGCGCAATGTGGCACTCAAATATATATATATACATCTGAGTATATGACATAGGATTCATGCTGGATATCTCTACAGTTGAAAAGGTTGAACGAAAACCCACTTGTAACTAGGGCTCCCACATTGTAGGATGAAGCCTCATCACCGGGCTATCTCCATCTCTATGTGGGAACTTTATGTCTGTACCAAGCCACACATCACACTCTTCCTGCAAACGGTAGGAATTGGCCACATTGGACACGATAGGATCGAAGTACTCCTTGGCGAGATGTTTTTTTCCCCGTTCACGAATCTCCAGGACAAAAAAAATCTTTGAAGCCCTGGAAAGATGCTCCTTGTCTATTGTTTTTGTTTGAACATGTGTGTAATGTATACTAAACCCTGCATTACAATTACTATACTAGAAAAACACATCATCACATCTTTGACGCTGCTGAAAATTAAAGATCGAGAATTTTTGCAAAGTTCGCCAAGGCACGAGAATAAATTTCATCCACGTACTGTTTGCATAACCCATCACCTCAGTTTACTTCACTTCGCTTGGAAAGTGAAAAAACAACAACTTCTCTTTCTGCGATCCAACATCATTGGATACATAACTGGGAGTTCAAGGATATCTCTCAGTTCCATACTGAAAAGTCGGTATCCCGCTGTCGGGCTGTCAGTTCCTATATATCATCCCGGCATGAGCGGCATGGTGGCATCGGAAAACAAAAAAACAACTATGGCTATGGTCAAGATTCAAAATACCTCAACAAATTACCATATCATTGTCTATATATGATATTACATCAAGGTATTTGCCATGATATAGGTATGTGATAAGGTTTCAATCCATGTTCAAGGTATGGCTACGGTCAACAAATTACCTTCTTAGAGTAATTTGATATACCATGACATACCTATGGAAAATTACGATTAATCAGAGGCAAATCAACTATAAATGGGCCGTGATCCATAGCTATGTTAGATTACCCAAGGGTCCATCTTAGATGCACCCGGGCCGATGAACAAAAAGCCACCTACTGTACAAGGTGGTGCCCCTCCAGCAATAAACTCTAGTTAAATTAAATGTTGGAGTTATGTGGCCCCCAACTTAGCTGTACCTTTCAGGCCTGGTTCAACATGGAGGTTTCCTAGAATGGGGATTCCCCCGAATCATGCAATTTAAAGTTCGGATGTTCAATTAGTAAACCATCTATATATAGCTATTGTTGTATCTTCATGACTTAGGAAACCTCCACGTGCTAAAAGCTGGCGCAGTCGCTGCAGCGTTGAAGAGGAACATCTCATCGAAGGTTGTCGGGACTTTCAACTGAGGGTTCTTTCCTCAAAGAGATGAGATTTCGATACCAACGTGAACCGGGGTAGATCATGTTAGGTCCATATATATTCATTCATCACCCCAGGGTTGCTATCCAACAGGGCTACTATTCAATCAAGTTGCCTTGGCAACCTGTCATTCTTGAAAATCAGAAAAAAACTTCCAAAACATATAATATATATGTGTGTTGGTCATTTCTTCCTGCCACTTTTGTTACAACCAGTTCCAACATTATTTCATCCAACGCCAAGGAGTTTATGTTCCTTTCTTTAAGTACATGCCAGTTAGAAAAACAACTATATGATCATATATATATGTATATGTATATATATACACACCTATATACAAACATAAACATACGAAGACTATCTAAGAATGATGGTATAAAACATAATACTACTTAAACATACTACTACTAATACGGCCAGGATGGGGATGCTGCCCAGGGAATTGCGTTTTAACTGCGTATGGCCAGTGTTTTATGCAATTCGGGATGTCGTCGGATTGGCCGAACGGATGACGAGACTTGTTTCCAGGACACAAAACCCTGAACTGTAAATCCTAAACCCTAAAACATCTAGAACCTAAATCTAACATGAAACCCTGACTATGTCTTGAAAGTAAAATCTTATTAAAACTGTGGTTAAAAAAACAAACAAACACAAACTAAGAACCCTAAACAAACCCTAAATAACCCCTAACGAGTTGATCACATGATAAACCTCTGGGCAGCACTCCCGAGGGGTACAAATACAAATGGTAATAATAATTAATCATGATAATAATACAACAGAAAAGCAGTATATGTAATAAAGGACTGTTATATTATGTACACTAATTGTACAATACATGTAATAGTATATAGAACCTATATATATATATATAGATAGATAGATAAATAGATATATAGATAGATAGATGGATAGATAGATCTATTATACATCATATATAGTACATATAGTGAGTATATATATATATATATCATATTTGTACATACATGGAACATGTAGACATAATGTATATATATAGTGCTATAATACATGTACACACACATGAGCCATGTATGTTGTTTGACTCAGTCTTAACAAAAATTGCAGTATGCTCCAACGGGGTCATCGACGCCAAGACGCTTGAGAACCCGTCAGGCTGAAGAACTGCAGATTTCGTTGGGTAAACCATGGCAAATTCCAAGATCCAATGCTTTTAACTCATCATTCTCATCATCAAATTTCTGTACCCATTTGGGGATTCAGAGTAATCGGATTCCATACAGTTATCCTTAGTTGTCCATATGGGTAAATGTAACTGCCAGTTGGACCCATTTTGCAGTATATACATGTATATATACTCCATTTCAGACCAGGTTTGGGGGGCGGATTCCTTGTAAACCTGCAGCACCAGCCAAAGATCCGGTTCCCTCTTGGCTTTTCATCGCCTTAGCCGTCCGGGAAAGGCGGATGACCGGTGCCAGCAAATTGGGATGAACAGTGCAGTTCCTAGTGATGGTGGGTTGTATTCCAATTCATGGAAGTTGTCACCATGCTTATAGCCGTTTAGAACCCCAACAGCACTCCAAGCGCAGTGTGCTTGTTTTATGCGTGGCCATGGCATGTTCCCAACTTACAAAAGCTGCCTCGGCAGCAAGTCCAACGGCGATGCCACGGCACGTCTGCTTGCACAAGCTCCTGTGCGACTTCTTCCTCTTCTTCCTCTTCGCTGGACTTACTGTCCAGGTCATCAATCTGATCCACGGTTTCCTGGCACGGCCAGGCACGGTCCACCCATCCCCCTTTTCATGGCCGCAGAAATGACAATTTCAATGGGGAAATGAGGTTCTAAGGTTTGAAACCATGAGATTTTGGAGGTTTGTTTGTGCGGAGTTTTCCCAAGCCTTTCTATGACCAACCCAAGCCTGAAAGAAAACAATAGGAGCAACAAATATATATCCTATTGTTTTTGGGATCTCCAAAATATGTTTGCAATATATCCAAAATAGGAGCAATTATATCGCAATATATTGGGATCTCCAAAAGGACATTCACGACGGCCAACTTCAGCCAAGAAACATGACCCAACGTGAACAAATTCAGTCCAGAGGAACACTATCCTCTTGTAAACAAACACGGCAGTTGGAGCCCTTGATGAATTTAACTGAAACATAATCTCCAGACATGTATAAATGTGAAGGTTGTTTGCGAAAGGCTAATGTTTGAACAACTTTTCCCCAGCCCTGTGTCCTTTTCTCTCAGACTTACTGGCAAATCCCTGATGGTGATAGCCATGGCCAACTCAAAGGAGTTTTTCGTGGATTTGTGGCAAGTCAGAAATCTGATTACGTCATTGGAGGGTCGCCCAAAAAGCGACGTGAACACAGAGGTGTTTGGGATCATTATCCCAGGACCAGCAATAAAACAATGAAGAAACCTACCTATTTGAGCTGACCATAATTTCAGATTTAACATCACTAATTGCCAAGTTGTATCTTCGTTTCACAGTGTTCTAGTATATAAATGTATATAGTATCTCTGTATCTACAGTACATTTTTATATAAATATATATGTGCAGAGCAGGAAGGATTCCCATCCCATCTTCAATCAGGGGGATCGGCCAAAAACCAGCCCAGCGTCCCCTTTCTTCGCCGCAGTGTTCCAGCTTCGCAGCAGAATGCGGATGCGGCTCGCATACCTTGAGACAGGCGAGATCACTCCCTAGTCCGGAGTAGAAGGTTCTACATGTTCACTGGTTGGTATCCCCATATATGATAACATATACATATACATACATATATATATATATATACATCCCCATCATTGAACCCATTTATATAGGTGTTCATGTGTTCATGTTTATTTACATAGTTTGGTGGTTTGCTCAAAGAAGGCATCAAATGAAAGCCATACTAATGGGGCATCAATTCAACTGTCTTGGGTCAAATGCACGACTATGCATGAGAATTGGCACTAAAACCAACAATGACTGGGTATTGGGGAATCCTGATGTTATATATATATATACATTATATATATACATTATATATATATAATATAATATTATATATATAATATTATATATATAATATAATATTATATATATAATATTATATATATATATATATCAACATATGTTAACCGAAATGATCCAAGCACCCGTAAAAAAAAACAGAGGTTCAACAGTTCGATGGTGGATGTCAGAATCCATGAAGATTTCAGGATGGAAAACACAGCGGCAACATCAGTGAAATAAACTCGTTATATAAGATGTTACCCTCTGGTAAACTAACATAGCTATGGAAAGATCCACCATTTTCAATGGGAAAATCCACTATTTCTATGCTCATTTTCAATAGCTAGGTTAAATTACCAGAGGGTACACGCATCAGATCAAACAAAAACGTGTTGTCCTCACGTCCAGCACTCGCTGGGTCATCCAGCGGCAGGCTGAAGATCTTCGACGCATCAGATCGGTGAAGATTGGTCAGAGGAGTTTGAAGGCTTCTCAATGCGAAAGCACTGTGGTATCAGTTGGTTCCTTCCACACCAATCCCTGCAGTTACTGTAGTACATGGTTGAAACAACAAACCTACTGGGATTTTCGAGTTCGCAAAATTAAGAGATGGCTTTTTATGCGGGCTGTATATCTGGCTTGGAAGCCTTCCAACAAACAATCCAAGTTGGTTTTACCCAACATCATATGTATGTACCGGTATATATATATATATATACATGCTCGCATTGAATCATAACAAAAGAATGAAGAAAGACGTCATCAAGAAAGCTTGATCATACTATATTTCTTCAACATCCCAATATATAGAGGCAAAAAAAATATCTACCCACCACCAAGTCGTGACATGTCTTGCCGCGCAACTCCTTCCGCGTGAAGATGTAGGCGCCGCCCGCATATGTCATGATTGCAGAGAGACCCATCCGGGCTCGTGTGCCGAACAAAGCACCCAGCTCGAGGTCAAAGACCTCTCTCACCACTGACTACCACTGCTGATTAGTCACATATTTGGGGCAGGTGCTAGGCATCGATTTGTTGCTAATCGCATATGTTTTATCAACCAGCTAAATATATATATATAATATGTATAATAAATGGAATGTCCCCATTTAGATTACATATATATATATATATATATGGTTGGTGGTTTCAACCCCTCTGAAAAATATGCTCGTCAGTTGGGATTATGACATTCCCAATATATGGAAAGTCATAAAATTCATGTTCCAAACCACCAACCAATATATATATATATATATTGATGTATATAATGGGTTCTATTGATGGGATTCCAAGTAGGCTGGGACAGGGTCAGGAGAAACTGGAGGGCACATTTTTTAACACGTCCCCCAAAAAGGGATTTATAGGGTATATGTATATACTACAACATAAATTGGAGATTTAATGGGATTTATGAATGATACTTGGAATATATGTCCATGGGATTTTTTTTTGGGTATATTCTCATTCATTTGGGCCCAGACGAATTCCGAATACTTAGATGCTCCCTGCCCAGGAAGAGTGAAACATCGCAGACCAATGATAAAATTGTCACTTAAGGCACTGTAAAACAAGAACATTTAACACCCAACGAACTTGAACGACAATTTCAAGATGAATCTGTTGGAAAAAAAAAATCTGGATATGTCTGAGAACATTTTGAGATTTCCTATCCTGGATAATCGGTGAGGTCCTCCAGTGTCGCTATCATGGACCATCACCAAGACTGGTAAATCCATGTAAATTCTCATCTCTCAACTATGGTTATGAAAATTTAACATTTAAGATCTCAATGAAATAATACCCTCTGGTAAACTAACATAACTATGGAAAAACACTATTTTTAATGGGTGAATCAACTATAAATGGCAATTTTCAATAGATATGTTTAATTACCAGAGGGTAACTCCCAAAAAAATAGATGAAACATGGTGAAACCCACCTCCAT